GCTTCTAAAGTACAGTTACGAGATGACGTCATCGATTCCCGCAAAGAATGCAATCACAAGTTGGCCTGAATCCGATAGCCTTATATCAGTTTAACGGGTTTATTAAAAACAACAACAAAAATATTTCTTGTTGCTTTAATCAACATCTCTAACTACCTATCAGGTCAAACATCGTTATCATATTTGAAGTCTACAAGACAGCCGCTCCCTATTGAGGCATTGAGTGGTTTTCACAAGCCAATAAATAAAAGCAAGGAAAGCAACTCAAAATTACAAACAAGACAAAAGGGATTGCCTTGATAACCTTTTCTGTCCGGGGGCACAAAAAAGGAAAGATTGGAAAAAAAGATTAGAAGACGAATAATTAAAGCAAGTATGATTCAAAATTCTCGTCTGCTTTTCCAGGCACTAATAAAAACTAATAAAAATTATTTACTTTACTAGTAAATGCAAAGTAAAATATTCAAAATGGAAATCCATATGAGCTGTTTAATGAGAACATGTCATTCATCGATCCCTTGAAGAAAATTTCTGAACTGACTACATATGATTAAAGAATGATATCTTATTAGCGACCATAGTTTCTAAATCATCATTTATGCATTTTGATACAAGTTACCAATATTTTGATACAAGTTCTTAAAGGCACTATGTCCTGTCAGTCAACTGTCTACAGTAAACAATGGATTTTGCAGCGCGTTTATGATCGAGAAAACATTGAGAATGAGCCGATTGGATACGTAACAATAGCTCTATTGTGAATTCCAACCAATAGGAAGTTCAAATGGCCAGCGGAATGCATAGGGCAGTGCCTTTAAGAACTGTGTATATAGTTGTAGAGAAGAATAAGCAAATTTTGAGTTTCTCTCTTATAACTGGAAACCTCTTTTGAACGCAACAGTACTCTATTATGTGGCACTCTTTATGATACAACTCATAAGTAAACAAGATTACTTGGCAGCAAGAAAACGCCATACAGGAAGTTAATAAAAATTGCAATCTTCAAAGCAAACAGCCCAGTGAAAGCTGCAGAGAAAGTGCGCCAAGAAGCTGAGGCTAGTAATGTTTCAGGCCGTTGAAGGTCAGGCTTACCATTAGGCGGTAAAGGAAGGTCAAGTGAGATACAGGACACGAAATGTCTAAAGGAATGTCTAAAGTTGGAAAGCTGTCTAAGATTGGTGGATACCTAGAGCCAATTTTAAAACTGACAACGTTAGGAAGGGATTGGCCTATTAAATGTCAAGAAAACAGGACAGAACAAAAAGGTAAGGGGAAGATAAAGTCAAGACAAGCTGCCGATCCAACAAAAGGTGCAATTGACCAACCTATAGCAGACTTCAATCGAGCGTCAAATTCAAATTCAAGCATCTCTTTTCTTACGGGGTGCTGAAAGAATAAGACAGAAACAAGAAAGTCAAGATACCTTTTGATTAACGCGAGAAACAGGAAAGAGCCACAGGGGGAAGCTCCCATATAGAGTCCCATGTAAAAAAGAACGGTAACGGTAAAATGACTTGTCAGTGGTCTTCACAGCAGACGAGACAACATATTGTAGTGGAGAAGAAATTAATATAGATACAGGTAGGAAGAATTCGGTAGAGAGGAGCAATTGAATACGACGTCAGAGACACTTCCATACTGGATTAGCCACAAGAAAGTGAAGTGGAAGTGACCCAGAGTCTCTAGTTGAAGGCCTTTGGTCTATAATACATTTTGAGACTGACAATTCTAAGAGACTCTGGGGATAGGCCAAAAAGGAGGCAACCAATCCATATTCCAAAATGCAATCACCGTGTAGAGTACTGAAAACATCAATGAGGTGACGCAAAATTGTATAGATAAGGTAACGAGGCATAATGAAACGTGGACAAGATAGGAAGAAACTGGCTAGAAAGGACGTTAAGAGGGAAAAAGAAAAAAGCTGGGAAATCTGAGGCTTTGCAGGAAATAGCCCTGTTATTTGCTGAATATAATGATTCAAAAAGAAAATAAATTGAAAAAAAGATGCATTTATCAAATGTGGCTGTGAAATAATGAACAATGGGTCGACGATACGCAAATCAGCCTGATGAGCACGCCTGATATTGAATCGCTTTAAAATTGATATGGGAAAACAGGCCTGTTACTCTTGAGAATCATGGTCATCCTACCTGCTAATTAACTCTGCAATTGAGGGTTTTAGGCTACTTGTATGACAGAAAAAGTCGAAGCTCGTCTCTTTCAAACTAGGAAGAAAACCAACAGAGAAAACAAACATTATTGGCTTCTTGCTAGCCTCTTACAACAACAATGAATCAGAGGCTAGTTAAAATGTCTTTTGTTCAATGTTTTATGAAAAACGCACTTTTGCACCATCTAGCCAGCACCATATAGGATTGGAATTGGTGGGTTCGCGTGGAAGAGTTGCAGGCACTGTTGATTGGCAAACATTTTTTACTAGTCTTGGGGGTATTGTCTGTTTAATCCAAGAAAGTATCTACATCTTGTCGGGGGGTTTAGCGGTTTAGCCCCATTTGCTCTGAAGCCAAATAACAACTCTGAACTACTTTCAAATAAATGTTTTAAAAACCTTTGTTGCGAGGGCCTCTCTCGTTCATAGCTCTAGACTCCTCGTGTGGCAGGGGATCAGAATTGTTCTATTTATAGGGGCTCAATCCATGGATTGTGATCATTTTGCATCAGTACTTGGCTAATTTCAGTCATATTTTTGTGAACCGTTTAGGACACTAGTACCTTGCCCCTAAATCAAAGGCCGAGTGTTACCCGTTTACACTACGCCGGTACAAAACCAGAACCGTGTTATATTTGCCTCAGGTTAACATTCACGCGGTTTCATTTTCACTGAATATTAGCAAGAAACAGTAAAAAAAGCCAGTGTGTGCGACAAAATGACATCTGCGTACCTGTAAGCAGGGTAAGGCACTATTTCATTCCGCTTCCATGGAGCAGTCATTTCCTGACACAGCGAGACCATCTTCAACAACAAATACTGGAAGGTGCTTCGATGGCGCAATAAACACAACAAATTAGGAAGAAAATGAATGCTAGGTATGACAGATTGGTTTGAGAAGAAAAAATACAAGAAGAAACAGACAAAAATCTTCACCTTTACTGTGAGCATGATTTCAACTAACGAAGAAGCTAGCTACCTAAACTGAGATCGAGAAAAAAGTAAACACGGCAGAGCGAGGAACAAGCAAGAATACCAAGTACATGCAACTGTCAGGTGAACTTTGAATACCAGCAATGATGACCATACATTATTGCATACATTACATTATTGCATACATTACATTATTGCATACATTACATTATTGCATACATTAGTGCTTTGTTGTTGACACTGTTCTCAAGAACTTTGTTCAAAGGAAAATCTTCTTTGATGCAAACAATAACCCGAAAAAAACCAACAACGTTTCAGCATACGAAGAAAGAGTTACGATAGCCTCCAAAATAGAAGGGATGACGAAAGAAGGCGTGACTGTGGTACCCAATAGCAGGAATTAAAACCAAGTTGTCGGAGAAGACAGATTTTCGGTAGCTAATTGCGATAAAGTGGCTTTGCAATTATAAAATTGATTATGTTCTTTTTCATGTGATCATAAGAGTTTCCTGAAATGTTACAAAATTGGTCTTTATGCATCCCTTCAAACTTTCAAGCTCCTTTGATATGGCTTTTTCGATTTGAATAGTTTTTTTAAAAGAAATGTTCCTTGCATCGTGGTGTGTAAGAAAGGCTCTACAGTAAAAGTTTGCTGGAAGACGTTCTCATAGAAGCCAAAATATAGCTTTCCCAGGATAGCAGGTTAATTTTTTTGCAATGTGTGAACGTTTCAAAAGGTCCTTTTGATAGAGAGAGGATGATGAATATCAACTGCAACTTTTTATATCTGTCATTTATTTAATGAGGTAAAAACCAGCTTTTTTCCGAATAGCAGTTTTTCAGAAAAAGCTGATAGAGACGGCCGAAACACATTTTAGAAAAATCCTAGCTCGGACTCGAGCCCCCAAGACCCAACGTAACTGGGGCCTAAGAAGGCTCTATCAAGACATTTATCAAAAAGTGAAATGAGGCTTGAAATATTGTTTGCATACAGGAAAGTTCTACATGCTTTCAGGCTGTCAGAGAAAAACTTTAATGAAGAGTCATACCGTAGATTTAGCCGTCAAATACACTTCAATCGTATTTGACGATCGGTTTGAAGTCAAATCTTGCAACGCAAAATATTAAATCATGCAGCGATACTCATACAGAACAATAAATCACTTTGATGGAGATGAAGTCCGCTTCATAGCAACTTTTATCAAACTGTTGGATTTCAGAATATGAAGAAATGAGAGGTGAACAGTAAAAGTAAAAACAAGAAATAAAATATAATAAAAGGAGCCGATTTAATATCGATTTCAGCTTGTTGGACTCAAACAGGCGGAGATTCAGAGACAGGTGCATTTGCAATTCATTCATATTGTGAGATTCATTCCCACATATAACTAGAATCTGGGACTTTTTAGCATATGGCCTATTCCAATAGTTACAATCTTGACTGCCTTTGACAAACAATGCTCCCGGAGGATAATGAAGGAAAAATGCCTCCATTGATTCAAGAAAATAAACTGGCCCGTAAATGTAGAAAGAAAATAACTCCAGCTGGCATTCAAATGCAGAACGTAAAATTTAAAAAAAAGAAAATTCGGAGTACCTTCTCCGTATTTACTAGTGACGAATTAAAAGAAATAGCCTGTTTCAAAAGTTGATAGACAGTGAAGTGTTCTTTTTATTTCATCGGGTGTTTGGGAGTCTATTCCTATCAAAAAAAGTAAAAATTCCCTCTAACATATCTGAAAAGCCGTGGGTGGTTCTTCACTACACGACACGAAAATTATTAAACTTTAACTAATAGATTATCGGAAAAACTCATTAGAAACTAAAAGGATTTGATAAATTAAATGATAACATTCATGAGCAAGGGTAATGATAAACAAGTTGTCGAAAACCATACCTGCCATGTCGATGGGGACAACTTCGTTGCTTTAACGTAACCCTTTATAAGAACTGGCGACCAGCAATAAACGGGGAAATCTAAGCCTGCTCCTGTTGTAACACGTACACAACGTGAAAGCGCTAATGAGTGTTTTGCACAAAGATGCAGCCGGCCAAGTTCATCTGATTTAGAAATACTAACTATTGTGCTAGTGAGCACCTGCTCTTGCTAATGTAGTTGATCGCGCGTTCATTTGCATATTCTTGGAACAGGCTAAATCGAAGCAAGCCTACTTTGCTGTTACACCAGACAGGATTTATTTCTAAAAGCAAGAGTAGGTGGTTTAGACGAGTTGCATAGAAAGCAAACAGTTTTTTTGCTATATAACAATACCGTTGCCTTTCTTACAAGCCTCTTAGATGATACGTTTCCTATGCTCATGAAGACGGGGGTAGCAAATATGCCTCTGGGATGTCAGAGCGCTCCTTCGAAGGAGACACCATCTCGAAAGGAGCTTCAGTTGTTCCCGGTCTATTGTCAAATGCAAATTCAAAATTTTCACGTAGGCAAAAATCTAATTAAATTAGGTGCATGCTAAAAATTGACGAGTAGAAAAATGCAGGTTAGCATTGAACCGAATTTGCACCGTTGGCCAACAATCAATAGTTTGTGGTGAAAAGTTACTGGAATCTTCAAAGCTATGATATTCAGAAAATGCGATTAATTATCGCCTGACATTATGAAATATTCAAGTCATTCTTGAAGAAAAAGGGAACCACATATTGACACTCAATTTGATTCCTGAAGCCATGCCTTTATTAGGTACTTGGGCAAGGTAGTTGATGCTTTTAAAAACAAATACTATAAAAATGGCCATCATCCTTCAAGTAATGAGTTCCTACAACGACATTTTTTCTGGACTTGAAAAAACCTTACTTGCATGAGTGTTATCACAAATGATAGGAAACATTAAAATCTGCGTACCTGCATCAGTTACTTGGGTTCAATGCAATCAATTCTTTTCTGCTGCCTTAAGAGGAATTGCACTCCGTCTCTATGTGGATGACATAATAGCAATGCTGCGAATTGGGCAAAGCATAGCGGACATCTTAGGTTGCAGACGGCCTTTAATTTATTTCGATAACAGTCAACGCTTTTGCTTGACTAAACACCCCAAATCTTACAGCGTAAGACCTTGAAGATCTCGGGTACAACACCAAAAGGAATACACCATGTTAACGAATGTTGGATTAGGCTTTCAAAAGGAAATTACTCTTTCTGCTTGCTGCTGTAAAAGGAAATCTAGAAGAAAGGAGTCGATTGATTGTTTGATGTGCGATTTTGTAAATAGTCTATTTTTATACCCCTTAGTTGGAAATTTTCAAGAAAGTTCCTCCTATTGTGAGATGATTGGGTATCGTATTCAAATATTGATGAAATGGAAATGAGGTCATTTGACAATCGTTTAACTAATACAATAAAAAACCAGGCAATGTACCAATTCAGAACTCCTTTTCCCTTGAGCGCTCTGTGAATGCTCATAGATCAGACAATACGAAAACTACGCTGTTGTGATAACGTTATCTAAAACTCAGCAACAACGTGCCCGCGTGTGACTCAAGAGATAAAAACACGCTCTTCACAAACAAATTCAAATCACCATCTCCTTATCACTACTATGCTATTATTGAAGCTGGCTGTCTAATTGAAATGCTGCAGTTGTGAAAATCTTCCAAGGTCCTGAGTCTATTATTCTAGTTGATTATCCTGCAAGAAATAGCCTAACGCATCCCATTATACCTACCTGCAAACTTGTTTGGCTGGAGCACTTATCGTCAAAACAATCAAATAATAAAAACATATTTGACACATACGTCTAATGAAGTAGGAACATACAGTGTTTGATCAACATATAGATGGTCAACCAACGATTTTACCGAGATAGCGTCTATGACGTCATCCCAACACTGCTAGTTCATAGGCGTTTCACTAAATCCCCAGCCAAGCACTCTCAAAATTTCATTGAACATTTTCCCCAGCATTCATATTCAGTAAATGTTGAGACCTTTTGACAGCCTTGTTCAAACACTTAAGATTTGTTTAAAGTTGTTTTCGATATTGCAAATTTCGATATTGGTTAGAAAATTTTCAGTGGACTATGTTGAGACCGTTGCTGTTTAAAGTTGTTCAGCAAATTTCGATACTGGTTAAAAAACTTTCAGTGGACTATGTTGAGAAAATTATCTCGACTGAACAATGTTGAGACCGTTTGGCCACATTTCTCAACAATGTTCATTGCATGCACACGTACTGACAGTTTTTGCATACGGTCTACTGTAAATGTGTTTCTCATTGCACATTTGGTAATATCCGTGCTGAACTTGCAGCTTTGGACCGTGGATAAGAAGAATTTACGCAATCGGCCTCTTTCATTAACACTTCACAAACCCAAGCTCATGAAGGAAACGGAGGACTGGGAAGGGTACAGTAAAAGAAGACGTGAAGGCTAGGCCACAAAAAGAAGAAAGTCTAGCGATACAAAGAAATCTTTACCTGAAGTAAAAGTAAGAATGGAGTGACGACGAGATAAAGTTAGATTCAATAGTTTGAAGAAATGAATTGTTATTGGAACATATTTATACTTGGTAGTATCAATCTGAAGTCAAATGTTTAGTTAAATGTTCGTTAACCCTTTGGCAAGATCACACTATACACGGCACAACGATGTTAAGCGTTGTTCAGTGAAAATGTTGCGAGCGTTTGCCCGGAGGTTAATGTTTTCATACAGCGGACAACGAAAAATATGGTTCTAAAGAAATCTCTGGTCACAAGTACTTGCTCTATCTGTAAATAGAGTAGGCTACACAATATTTAAAGCTTTTTCTAGTTACAGGTTTAACTACGAAATTAAAATTAAAAACGAAATTTTAAATACAAAATCAATTTTCAGTATAATACTAAAGCATTGAACCCATCCTTGTTCATTCATTATTCTCTTAAGCGAAGTTTTATTTTGGTTGTTCTTTATCCCATCGAACATAGAGTGGAATGCTCCCCCTGAATGATTTCGAGTTTATTTCAAACGAGGTTGCTTTTGTTTGAGCATTTGAAATGTTATAACAGAGAGCTTGCTACTGCCTCTCAATCTAACTCCAGCTACCATTGCTCACTTTTACTTCTCCAATTTACATCATACTTTATTAGAAAAACTGGCATGTCTTAGTTGGGGCTCAAAACGCACTTCCAATGGTAGCATTTTAAGGACAAACTACGCTTTTGTCAATATTCTAAAGTTTGTATTGTATCTAACAAGACAGACATTATGGCTACAACAAGTCATAACTCAAAGATATAAGCGATGGGCAAAGCATACTTTTGCCAGGTCCATTACCACTGAACATTGATCGCCTAGAGGACTCATCCATGTTTGTAAACTGGTTTATCTGGGAAAATGTCAGCAATGGTTAGGTGAATCACTCTATACTACCGTGTGCAGATGACAAAATGTGTCTCTGTTCACATGAGCCAAAATCAATTTTCTTTCTGAAGCTAGATTTCACAGGTGTTCTCAACAAGACTGCTACTTAGGCTGCGTTTACGCGGTGCCGGATAACTTTTGATCCGGATAAAATGTTATGCGGATTTATCGCGTTTACACGGTGCCGAACAACTTTTGATACAGATAGACTTCCTTTTTACCAGAGTACGGATAAACCCTGAAAAGCAGCCTAATTTGGTTTGCGGTGCCACCATGTAAAAAGAATTCAAAATTAATGAATAAAAATGAATGAATTCTGCCAGGCACATACTTCTCTTCTTAGATGCCTTTTTAAGAGATTTTCTGATGTGCTGGATCCTTAAAGAGCTCTGATCAACAACATAAAATGATTGCTGTTGGCGTATTCGAAACATGCGGTCATATCGTACTGCCATTGTCACATTATGTGGTGCAGTCAAAATCGCCGCTTCGCTATGAATCCGTAACAGAAGCTGTTTGGATACCCCGTATACACGATGCCGGATAACTTTGACATCGTCTAGCTATAAGGACCAAAAGTTGTACGGGTAACCCAATCAATTTTGATACGGGTAGCCCAGTACTAGTGTAAACGGAAAGCCTTCCAGCATCGTGCAAACGCAGCCTTAGTTTGGGACGAGTGAAATGGTACCTTTATACTAGCTTATTACATAATACTTCATTTTTGTGTTTTTCAGAAAATCATTACATTGGTGTGCCCTCTTTTTCAATCACGGCAAGTCACACGAAACAAGCAACAACCATCTGCAAGTTGGAAGTTTTTTCATAATTAGGAGCAGACCTTAAGATTCGTTTCAAGGCTTTCTAAGTGAGTCTATAAGGGTATTTGAGATTAGGTCGAACTGGACCGGTTTCATTGGGAAAACGACCTTACAACGCTGCGAAGCAGGATCAGTGTTCCACAGTTGGCGATTTCTGGAAATGTCCAATCGACCTTTGTGGGTCAATGACACATTTACGAAACGCAACTTGAAATCGTAAGTAGATTTGCACTAGTGTGGACCCGTTTAAGCATGCCTAGCAGTTCCATCTGCAATGGCTCCAGCAGTTTGCGTTGCATCGAAAGACTTATTCTCGATACTCCAATTTGCCTCTAGAAGACATTTCAAGGATCCAGTAATGTTTTCTGAGAAGACATCTGCTACAACAGAGCATCAACTTAAGAGTGAACGCGAATCGATTGCTTAAAAAAATCACCTGCCATTTATTCACGGTGCTTGTTCCGAACTGTTGGGAAAGTGAAAAGCTGCACAAGATGACTCTCCTACCTAAGTGGAGTGTAATTTTCAATGTACGTGTTATGTTTAGGCAAAGGAAGAGAGAAAGAGAGAAAAGGAAAGCAGGAAAAAAGTAGGCCAAGTCGAAACATCAAGAATTTACAGTCTCCTTAAAGCAAGTAACCGATTCATTAATAAAGATCTTATGAATGAAGAAAATCTGCCTAGCTGCCGAGTCTTTAGCAGTAAGCTACTATTTATATTTTTGTCCCTAAAAATCAAACCGTTTCTTCACGACTGAGGCGCTCCTTCTGGTGTGACTGGCCTCGTTTTAATGCCACATCCTAGGTCATAGAACGAGAGCAAAAGTTACAAAACATCGCTATCAATCTGAGCCATCCCACTTGTCATTAATCTTAATTAGATTCGGAGTACTTGCAGTTTCGAATAAATCTATCTAGTGAATACACAGGTGGAAAGTAGAGTCAGCAACCCACAAAATGAATATGCACTTTTCACTGACGTATCTACTAAAGTGCTTGTTCTAAATTTGAATTATATACGAATTTATTCAAAGGATTAATCAAATAACAGATGGAAATAACACACTTTTGCTCTGATGAAGCCCCGTACGCCGGGGCGATTATTAACCATTATGTATTTGCTTGTGTTTATTGTTGTTTGTGCTCGGCGCGTTGCGGCGTTCCTTATTTTCTACGTTTTCACTGACTTTTCGCCGCAAGCATTCCTTTTGGAGTCCGTCGAGCAGCCTGCCAGTTACCGTGGCTTTTTCTTTATTTACATACAACAAATGGAAAGGCGGGATTTTCAAGTATAAGGTTCGAGTCTTACTTTTAGGAAATGGCGAAATTTATGCTTAGTAATTGATGACAGTTCCTAGCTGGTGGGATGAGGGTTCCATGGCCCAAAATGCCTACTTCCTGCAAATGAGTTATTTGATGCTGGAAAAATTTGCATCAGCTATGGCTAGTTTTGGGTGCCCGTCTGGGTGCAAAACACCTACAGATCTCTAAAGCTAAAGGAAACTTTGCATAACAGAGCCTTTCTCTTTCGCCAAGAGCATCGAATTTTCATCAAGGAAACATCAACAAAACCCCTGCCAGGTCCACTTTAAAGCTCAATGCTGATAGGATGAATCAGTGTTTGAGAACAATAGGAACAAAAAATATTGTTAATTGAAAACAGAGGGTTTTTATGATTATGTTTAAAGGTGAAAGGCTCGACCATGCTTAAAACAAAGTAGCTACGGCAATGCTTCATGGTACAGTCAAGTTTACAAAGGGTTAGTAAAATTGGGAAGGAGAAAATGGATGCTTTTAAGCGTGCTTAAACACCAGCGGTCAATGGCTGTTTCTAATGTGCTTCTAACTGTAATGGCAAACAAACGGTCATCACCAACACATCACTAACTGACAAAGAAGCAATGCTGAAAATACATCAAAATTCATTCTTATCTAAATTATTAAGCAAATAAATCAACGAAATCGCTTGTGTCGTTAGCCTACAAATTGAGGAAATTTGAGAAACTTCGGGAAGAATAAGCCTATCTGATATTCAGGCAATGTACAACGTGTGTGTTGTAAACAGAACAGCTTGAAGGAGACGTTTTCACCAGGTGGTTCTGATACACAACACATGATAATGAAAACTGTATGAGTGTTGAAGTCGTTGAAAACCTATTTCGCACTGATTTATTTACTAGATAGGTTATAACTGAAGGCTGTAATGGCCTAAATCGATAATGCCAACAACAGAGAAAAATGGCGAACATTGATGCAAAATGATTGTTCTGGTCTTATTAGTCATGATAGGATCTATTTAAACTAGTTCAGTGAATACCTTAAGATTTTCAGAGAGACAAAGAAAAACGATATGAAGTTGTAACAATATGAACATACTTTAGTGATCATTTCGTATGGCTAATTTGTTGGTATTTTATTCAAAATATCAAAACATCACTAAATTGATGGAGAAAAGGGATGAATTGATACAGAGGAGCAATAGAAAACAGGCAGATTTGTAAAGCGGACATTGAGGATCAAACTATGTCAAGGTGATAGGCAGATGATCCCTTTTTTAGGCAATGGGCACTAGAGCCGCGGCTATAGCGGGGGCGGCACGGGGGGACACGAAGGCAGCACAAAGGCAGCACAAAGGCAGCAGCGAGGACTTGGAATTTGAAGAGTATAACAGTTCGCAGCCTTGTTACTGAAAATTTCTCTCATTTCGTTGTTCTTTTACTGTTAACATAATAGTAATATTTTATTTTGTTGTACAAAAGGAGAAATGAAGTAAAATCGCCTCTTACTTGAAACCTATCTTCATGTAACAATGTCATAAACAGGTTGGGTCCCTGAGCTGAATAGGAAATAGCTTGAATTCGGGATTATTCATTGAATTGTGAATCCCAGGTTGTGTCGTCTGTCGGCCAGCTAGCACAGTGCAACGACTTTTGGATCAAATGAGAGCTCTTTACACAAAACCAAACCTAGCCGGTACGACTTGCTCCACAGAGCTTAGAAAGTCCAACTTCTTCTAATTTGGAGGAGTCCTGAAAATCACTTCCATTTATCCGTGAGGCGTACGCCACAACACGTTTTGCCACCAGGAGTTATCTTACGAATCAACGACAGTATAGGCGTCAAGGTAAATTACTGGCATCAAAACTTGTTTCTAGAGTTAGCTTTATTGAGTACAGTGAGACTTCTAAATCACAAAAATTTTTAAGGACCAGCGTTACTCTCCATTGTAGAGAGCTATCCATTGCCTGTGCAAAGATTTGACAGCAGGATACCGATCGAGACAAAGCTCTTGCCCAATAGTTGGGGTATCCGTTACAAACAGGTGTCCGTTATCGGATAGTGTCAATTTATGAGGCATTTCACGGAAGATTGACTCTTTTTTAAGGATTGCTATTCAGAGCCTTGCAGGATCTTCGTGCAATTGTTTCGTTCAGCTCCTCTCGTAGTCAAAAATTAAAATCGATTAAATATCCAAATTAAGTACCCAACTGATCTATAAACCTCGAGATGTTCCTTCTTGTCATAAGAGCCTATACAGCTTATTATTCAATGAAACATGGAGAGATCAAAAGATCGATGTTTATATTAAATGGCTTCATTTTCAGATGGCCTAAGAAAGAAACCTCTGCAAAACACCAAAGTAGCCATATCAAGCCACAGCGTGACGCTGTTATAAATAATAAATATGTAGATGATCTAATTGTGATCTATCCAGCCCCACTGTACTGTACATGGGGAATCTTTTCCATTCGCTCAATTCAAATCTTACGCTTTATTGCATTTTTGCGTTGGAAACTTAGAATCGCTATGACGAACATTCACGAAACTCTTCCAAAATAAATCGTCTCGAGGCAAGAGCAGAGAGCAAACTCTACAAAGAGGCGCTTTCTCACGAGCACAAAGCTTTCAAGGTTCAAACAAAGCTCAAAAAAGATGAGCGGATGCGAAAAGCTTGTTGTCTGGACTGCACATTTGAATGATATTGACACGTGATGGATAGATGATTGATCGATATAATGATAAATCAGATGAATGGCTGACGTTTAGGAATCTTCAAGGCGCCTGGAAGTCGAAAGGCAAGGAAATAAAACTGTGCAACAATCCCATATTGCCCACTATGATATCAAAAGTAACTGAGCAGGATGACAATCCTTAACGGAAGTCAAGAAAATGTGACTTTTGAGTTCAATTAAAAACATCCTTACTGTTTTTTTCCAAGGAAATGAAACAGTAACTGTGGCAGGGAATATGGTACAAGGGCAACTATAAACGTTTCTTTGAAAATTGACGTGCATTTTTACAATGCCAAACTTCAAAGAATTGCTGTCTCAAGCTCTTGATGTCAGAGGAAAGTAAAAACTGTTTCCGCAGCTGCTATTACGAAGAAAATATTGTTCTTGAGCAGAAACACAAAGCGTAAGGCTTGATGAAATGAATGGTTTATGCTAATGATATTAGGAATAGCAAGGAAACTATCAGGCAGCGTTTATACGAGACAGCTTTGGACAATTCAATTTCAAGCCGTATCTTTGCTATAGTTTAGGCTTCTCGTTTTCGTGGTAGTCAGGGATGTATGGAGTCATTCGGTGGTACAAAAATGAAAATGGCTTTAAAAAAGCAAATATTTTGATTCATACAAAAGCTTTTCGCCTGACACTCGGAGCATAAAACGACAGAACATCGAAAACTAAAATCTAGGAAATATATATATATACACAGAAACGCGAGCACATGACTGTAAATGTTGCCCAGCCAGTGCGACTTGACTATTGAAAATGTTGCCAGTGGATTTCTTGGGTGAAAACGAACAGGCCTACAAGCCAAAATATCGTGCGGAATCAGAAACTAGAATGATACTTAGGAAACTTGGGTAATTTTTGAACTGGGGTACTAGGACCCAGGCCCAAACAGTGATAATTGCATTATTTTTGCTTCTTTTCGTGTGAACCGGCCCATCTCTACTTATTTTCATCCTTGCATCGCCATTGGCTGCAGCACAATCAGATCAACAACTATTAGGCCTGGAATATCTGGATATAAAAGGAGGCTTTCTTTTTGCTTTTAGATGTCAAAGACCGGCAAGTTGACAACTTGACACTATAGTGACCATAGTGACAGTACAGCATATTTCTTTGCTTGAAAGCAAGAACCAACGTTTCGGTTCCTATCCGTATAAGCAAGAAGAAAAAATATAACTTAGCTAGTCTAACTAAACCCCTCAACTTACATTCCATTTTGCCGTCAAATTCTCAGTGAAACGGGCTCTTTGTCCAAAACAAGACTACCTTTGACACGAGTCAGCCTCGAAGGGGCGAGTGAGATGTCGCTCTTACATTTCTATCATGGTTTTGTACACTTTCTAGCAACATTTCAGGCACCGCTGAGCGTTGAGAAAAGTGGGGAGTTTAAAAGAAGTGGGGACTGGTGATTCATAGGTAAATTTTTTGCATTTTTGGCAAAAAGCGGGGATTCACGTTGGATTCAAAATATGACCTGCTTCGTCACCGGACTAGCTTTGGTACAGCTAGTATTCCTAAATGGAACTGTTCCTTCGGGTCCAGTGGAAACGCAAGACTTTACTGTCGCAGTTACAAATGTAACAAGTATCGTGGAACTGCAGCCTCATAGTCTAGCAACAAAGATGTAGTCATTAATGGCAGACGTATACTTTGTTTATATAAGTTTTGCAAGCTCCGACTCTTTGGTTGGAGGGAGAACGAGCACATTTGAAACTATGTGGAACACATTTAGAATGTATCGTTATCAACAGGACACCCAAACAACCAACGTTTTTAGGAAGAATATTTGCTTCTTTCAATCTCTGCCACTGGGTATTTGCTTTGAAAATACAATTAGATATTGTAGAACCGTTTAGGGTGAAAACCTTACGGTTTTTATGTCTGAAATAGGTCCTTGAGCACTAGGTGCTTAACCAAAGAAATATAAAATAACTGAATGGAATAAAATGAATGAGCTGACCAGCAAAATTGTAGGGAAATCGGTACCTTAATTGAGTTGCAGACAATAAGCGAGCAAGACTTTAAATCGTCTGGTTTTTCTTCTGAGGCATATGGGCGGCATTTTAAAAGTACAGCTTTAAGAAAGAAAATCCTTAAGTTATGCAACAAAGGCCTAGTGTCGTGAAAAAACAGAGAAAAACAGATGGGAAAATATGATAGAGGAATGGCTTTTGTGTATTAGGACCAAAATGAGGTCTCTTTTGACCCATGATAACAGAAGTGAACAGGATCATCAACAGTTGCACAGTAGAAGTCGAAAAATATTCATTATTAAAGAATGCTTCAAAGAGAAATGAATTTCACGTTTAAAAGTTGATATCATCAAACGAAATGAGTATTTAGACACCTGTACCTGGGTTGAGACGAACCAAATGTATCAAAACCGGAATGGGGGTCCCGGTCGGGGTTGCAGTTTACACGGATTCAAGTTGCAACCATGATCGGGAGTTTAGGGATGACGATCGAGCATCGTAACCGGTTTCAACGCACGTATACATTATCAGGATTGCAATCCTGACCCAGTTTCGCTATTTTTTTCCATTGAAGGGTTATATGGGTGAGAATAAGAGTACCAAAGTAGGCCGTAGCAAGAAACCCCGACAATCTTACCAATCTTATCTTACCAATCGTACCAAAAAGTGACAAGAAGCAGAATAATACTCATCCTGAAACAAATTTGCAGGGAGTGTCTCAATAAATCTATTCCACAAGCATGGATGTGCCTGTATAGTAATGGGCCTGCAGGCCTGAATCTACCTGAAATATTTCTTAATTGAAGAATTGAATTGAAATATTTTTAAATTCGACCAACTCCTTACTGAAACAGAATGAATCATTAAAACCAAGGTTGCCCCTTTTCCTCCTCTTTCAAAAACCAAGAGAAAACCTAATCAACTTCCGTGTTAGCAAACAAATCATAATGCTAGAGGATCGGTAGACGACTTGCTATGAAATGCAGCTTAGTCACACGGGAACAGAAAGACCATTAGTTAAAAGGTCAGATTTTTTTGAGACAATGTTGCCGACGAAGAATTCTGGTTTTCCTACCTTTTCAGTGGCCCTATCACCACTTCCCAACAGATAGTGGGGTCTACGTTCACATGTATCAAGACTAAAACATGGATCCAGTGAAGCAGTCAATAATATCTGGAGAATTGTAAGGGTTACAATGCTAACCATTCAGTTATGCGAAAATTGCACTTCAAGTATGAAGTCTCTAAAAACATTGGTTTGAAACAATGAAGCGTTGGTTCGGTAAGGAGGGAGGGGGTTCAGTAAAAGGGAAAAAGAGGCGTGAATTATCGTTTTGACTGTCGTAGCCAGTCAAGTTTCGAACGCTTCAAAACAGGTCCGAAAGCTTCGACATTAACTGGGCAGTTGAAGAAATACTCCGCTTCAGCTGTCATCAAATCCCACGCCAAGAATGAAGAGCAAATTGGTTGTGAAAGAACTTTATATTCTTTAGAGCAATAAAAACTAATCTTGAATACAAAATTCATTGTAAAGAACTTCGACAACAGTCAATTACGAACAAATGACTTCAGGGTAACTTTGCGATCAAATCAAGGACGTCTATACCAGAACGGACTGACCTTCACGTTCTATCTATAATCTGTAGCATAGGAAAATATTACATCGTATTCGGCGTGGCTGACAGTGGCTATCTCCAAATTCTACACGTGTTATCTTTGCTCCCTGGAAAAGACAAAAATTATATACATTGGCACTGACTTCCGTTTACCCAGGGGTGGCTGATATTTTAAATGAATACACTGTTACAAAATGAAGCTCATATCACTAATAAGATACTATTGCTACATTCGATCCAAAGAATTAACATATAAAGGCCCTGTAAATAGAGAATGACGCGTTCTAAAACACTTTTATGTATCTCACATTCCCCTTCATTAAAATATGGTCCAGTGGCGGAAATTGCTGAGTGTGGGGGGGGGGCAGTGTCGCAAAATGAATTGTGGGGGGAGGGAAAGTGCCACTGATATTGTCAATAGCAGAAATAACGAAATTTTTAACAGCCTTGTAAATACGAAAAGTAGAATTTCTCAGCAAATGGCAAATATACAAGGACGAAAGGCTGAAATGCAGTGTCAAGGCAATCAGAAACTGTGTTCCAAAAACAATAAGGACAGTGAATATAAGTGATTACAACAAGGCTTGAAAAGTAATCGCAGCAAAAATCCTGTTTTCAATCGTGTTACGCTTCAGCCTGTATAATCGAAATAGGCTAATGATCTTATTTTTGTTATAAGATCAAGCAATAACAAAGTATATCTTATTGCACCAATGCAGACAAACAATAAATTAAGAATCACTGCTATATTGAAAATAATAAAATATTGAAAGTATTGCAAAAGCAAATAATAAATCAATAATAATGGAGCAAAAAATAAACCAAATTATATAAAAAAATCTTCTCATTTTTGAACATGAAGGTTACCTTTCAGTAGAAAGAAAAATAATTGCAAATGTTGCATACTGCAAATCTACAGATCAAACAAAAGAATAAATGGTGCAAAACCTATGCACTCAAAATACATATCGCAAAGGGGAAGTGTCTCATGGTGAATAATCACGCCTTTGCAAACCAATGGTTGCGTAACAATAGAAAAGGAGGAATTTGTCCATAAATAGCTGGCATGCACACGTGACGATAGCAGTTAAGGTGATCTGGCTATGGCCTGCTGCAAGAGGCTTTTCACACAGGCATCAGTAGTTCAGTAGAAAAGGAAAAACATCACGAAATGGATAAAAAGTCAAATACATGGATGGATGAACAAATGCAGTAGAGAAATATCAGTTTTATGAAAACAACCGTCGTTCTGGTTTGCAAAGTGAAGAGAAGAGGATTTAGGATGCACAGGAAGAGAGGAAACTGGATGCAAGAAAGTTGAAGCATAATTTCCGAAATTATTTATAAGTTTGCATTAGCGGGAAGACAGGACAATTGACAGGATGTTTGCATAAAAACGGATTTTTTAGAAATCAAATCGCCTACAGCCAGGTCAACTGACAAAATCTATGGCAGAAAAATACAAGATCTTACCTGTCAAGATAATATCTCCCTCGTAATTGAAAGCACAGCTGAATATCTCGTCTGTGTGCCCTTCAAGGATCTACAACGGTAGGGAAAAACGGTAAAGGATCTTCAACGGTAAGGATTTGGGTTTCAAAAAAGGCATTCTGTCATATATAGTATCAAACATTAGCTAATATAGCTCAGCCTGTATGGCATCGAATTTTGTTTTCTTTAGAATGTATCTTCACCGGTATATAGAAATATCTAAAGTTGTCCTGAAAGCCTTGGACGTAGGAGACATAGGGGCTGGGAGGGCTGCAGCCCCTCTAATCAGGCAACAATTATCAAATTTCAAACTCCATTCGGGCAGTTCTATCACGATAAGGGAACCATATTCGAGCAAAATCCATACCAGGCAACCCCCCCCCCCCCCCCCTTAAACGTTTTTCATTCGCTACACCAATGCTGCAAGCCAATGGCATAGATTCTTTTACGGTCTCAATTACTCTTTCTCGGGCTCTCTTAATTCTTCAGCCGGGTTCTTTATGCAGGGTGGCTGAGAGCTTCTTATACTTCTTTCCTTTATTTCAGAACCTTTCCCAAGACAACCCATAATTCTAGAAATCAATGCTGTCATCCAGCTTCTGATATGCAAAATTAAAGTCTATAGAAATCACAAGAATAATTAAACCGTCAAAATACTGGTGTGAAAATTTGGTGAACTCTATATCATCTTCTTACTTAGAGAAAAAATAACTGAGGATTCAGCTTTTCAGCTGAATTTTGATCCCCAGTCTAATTTGAATTCGCACTAACAGATGACAGATGCCCTGGAAATTCGTAGCGCTACGGGGTCAGCTGACACGAAGCAGGTTCTGAGGAGAAGATTCGATTTTCTCAACAGCCAAACATTTTTATGATTTCCTTTCTGCTCTTTTTGGGCCTACGCAAACTGATCGAATGTGTCAATTTAAATGTGACATATAAATAGCATTGCAAAATAATGGTGTGAATCTCAAGTTGGCAACAAAACACCTGTAGATTGATGGGTAGAGAACGGTACACTCATTTTTTAAAAGAAACTGGCTATAAGAAACGAGTACTAGACGGTCAGAAAAAATTACGAAACTTCCGTACTCAAAGCAACTATTAAATCGTGATAAAACTGAGAACAATGACATTTTTTAAATTCCAAGAACATGATTGACCTGATGGCCTAGAAATCAAGACGTGAAAAAAGGGTCAAGAAAATTTTATAACATCATTCATGACATCATAATTAAGTAACTCTTAAGAAAAAGTTAGTATTGAAATTTCAAGAACATTAAGAAACTGGAGTATTCAACATCGACCTTTGTTGCTTATAAAAAATGAGTGTATTTCGATATCACATTCGCAAGCCATATTTTCGATTAACAACGCTAAGTGAAGGTCAATCTCTGCCAACATTACTTGGAACAGCCAAAAGCTCGGGTCCTGTTTGCTTATTTCTCGCTTATCATCCCAAATTCTTCTACTTCTGCTCCCCTTCTGCCAATAATCATGTTGATAGCTTAGGCGAATATCATACAAGTCACACAAAAAACACAATTCTTAATCTTAATGTCCTACGTCATTTTATTGAAAACCAACAAAAGGAAGAAGGGTTGGCTAGATTCACAATAAATATCAAACTTTAGTCTCCCAAGACTTCTAGCAGAGATTGTAGATTCGCAGGAAAAGGTTCTTTATAACTCTAAGCTCCTCCCAAGCATCTCCTGTTCAGTTACTTTTAATAGTAGCTGAAAATAGGCTAAAAAAAGTAGCTTATTCATTGCTAGAAATTCGTAGAATTAGTTGAACAATAGGCGTGTTCAATCAAATCTCCATGCTCCAAGAAATTTTTTTTGCAAAGGCCCATTTAACAGACGTTTTAGTGGTCAAAGTCTGTCATTACACGTGCTTACACTGTGACTGTGATTCTTGTAGGGCGAAGAGGCATCTTTTGGGCTATAAGGTCTCGATACTTTATGAGTATAGCTAATTGCAGAAAAACAATCCTTAAAAAAAGCTGAACTACCTTACCATTAGTCAATACTCCTTGCACTGAAATGCATTAGTCAGATATATGTTCATTTACATCTTTGAATCCTCGTTGTAATATTGCATTTCGGGATGCAACGAGCCCGTAAAGTAAAAAGTGTGAAATATCCTTATACAATAGGCGCGCTTTATATCAGACTTACCCTGGACGAAATCTTTCGTATGTTTACATTAAAGATTGAAAGATAAAACACTGCAGTGGAGAAATATTTGAAAGTGTAAGTGCAACTGAAAAAATTGAGGCCTGTTCAAAAAATTGCACGAGGTTTCTCGTTGAGTCTACAGCTTGAGTTGAGAAATCTTGAAATTTTACCTGTACGCATTCACCAGTGAAAGGGTCCCATAGCCGAGCGGTTTTGTCGCTTCCAGCAGTAAGGATTCTGTTACCTTGTGGGTTGAAAATCGCCTGTAAAAGAAAATGGTTACAAATAATGAATATGGTTACAAAGAATGCTAGCAAGATCAGAAACAAGAAATAAATGTCAGCTGTCAATGCAAAGCCTTCCTCAACCTGAACCGATAATAATTTGATAAACTAAGGTAGAAAAAAGTTGGGTAAGATCAATTGGCTCTTTGCAGTGGCTCTTAGTGCACCCACTGGAGTCTTCAGCTATACCTAGTAAAAGTTTTTCATCTCAATCTAATTCCTTCTCTCTCTGGTTTCTCACTTTATGATCAAGTTAACCACTTCACTAACTAACAGGTTAAGATCAAATGCATACAATGTCAGATTTGAGCTATTAAAAGTTGACCTAAATGATCATAAGAAAAAAAGACTCTGTTTGGACTAAAAACAGCTCCGAATTATCAACCATCGGATGTCGACAGCGCCACTTACTCAAGCCGAGGAACCATCACAAACTTTTCTCATAATTTACATAATAAAGAGTTTCATAAGAAAGATTTACTTCGAATATTTCAGGTGTACGCTAAATCTGGTCAGAAAATGCAAAAGTGCAAAGTTGCTGCCATTAAAGCCAATAGAAATAATTTAGGTAATTCAGTACCTACAGCAATGAATTTAGTATCAAATGAAAACCTTATTCAATCTTTGAAGTTTTAACAAAAAATTGAATGACGAAAATTGATCATGGTCATGTTGCAAGATTGACTTTTAACAAATAATCTTCCTTTACAAAAAAGCAACAAAGGAATATTCAAAGTGGGATCAGAATAGGTTTCAGTACAATGACTTATTTATGACAAGTAGGCATGAGTAAAAATCCAGTTTTGTTGTAATTTAATAATGCAGCTTGTCTTCTTATGAAATGCAATACCTCTCTTTATGAATTCTCATTAAGGTAGGAATTAAACCCTGTTTTAACTGGTCACTGAAGGCAAAAGTCATTTTTCAGGTACACTTTTGGGCAACGTATATTTATGTTGGTTTTTTATAGTTACTGGATTGTGCAAATATTGCCTTCTTTCTCGCTTCATGTAATAAAAGTTGCTGTACGAAAGGTTTACGAAAAAAATTATGATCTACCATGTTGTATGAATACCCCCTCACCCCTTTCCACCCTAATGGCGGCTGTGAACAAAATGAGAATTTTCCAGAAAACGATTAACTTTTGATACTCTTGGATGAAAACCTTCAATGATTTTAGGGGAATAACAAAACTAAAGCAATAAAATCTCAAAAAAGTTGATAAGTTGATAGTTTCTAGCGTTCTTGAAATAAAAAAATCTACTCTTTTTTCAGTCTGAAAGGATTCTTATTGGTGGGGTCCTACTTTCAAAAATTCACCCTGTAGGTTTATTCATCCACAATGTTTATTGCGTGGGATTTACTTTAATCGAAAGGGAAATCAAAGGGTCAGATCAACACGAACTGGATACTTTTGGCACTTTAATTATATTTTACGAAGGAAAAATGACCAGACTTCGTTTATGTGAGTCAAGACAAATTCGTTCTGCATCAAAGCATTACCAAGACGGCATATACTGGAAAATTCGATAAGGTTGCGTAATTGATTCCACTGAGATCGGATCCCATTGCCAAAAACATTATTATTCCTATGAAAACAAACACAGTATCCTCTTCAGTTGCCTGAGAATAAAATAACGCCCAAAAGATCAACAACCTCTTCTCGGTTAATAATATTATTACATCAACAATCTTAAAGAAACCTGGAAGACCGACCTGTGGCAAAATGTCATACACTAATCACATATAAAAAAATATTTCCATACAAGAATAAATGGAAACAAGCCACTTTCAAAAACAACATAAATCTGATAGACAAAGCTGCATTGCATTGTTTGTAAATATCTCACGATAAAAATCTTGGGATCTTCATATGAGACGAGTGCATGCAGCTGACAGAGTTAAAAACGCGAAAGGAAATAAAACAAGGAACAATTTTGGTAGTCCTCCTAGCGTTTGCTGCAGTAGAAACAGGCTTAAATGATATACCGCTTGCTGATGTTAGAGAGAAATTTAATTCAATAGAAGAAAGAAGCTTTGATTTCTAGCAAGATAAAACATTTCAAAAAGCGAGTTAATAGTTGATTTCTCACTAAGATTTCGTTTAAGTTTGAATTCCAGTAACAATTACCAAATTTTGCTTTGATTTTGATGGATGGCTTTGAAAATAACATTGGTATGTTTTGTCCTAAAGGTAGTTTTCTATTAGAAGACATCGTGGAGTAAATAACTCGGTAATTGTGTTTAGGTAAGAGATCAGTTACAAACACAGCGGTAAAAAGGTTCATATGACGCATGACAGACGGGGCACGTAACAATCTGAAAGTACAAGCAAAGGAACAAACCAGAAAGTGCATAGGGCATGTCATTTTCGCATTGGGATGACTGACTGCAGTGACTGAGTCGTGCAAGCAACATTTAATGGATTGCATATCTATTGTCTGTTATTATATTCTCTGATATGTCTTGTGTTGGGTGAAAAATAATGGTTTGGCTCCTTAACAAATAATTCAATTCATGTTATTCGTTTCAGCTGTGCTTTGTTAATTTCGATCTTTATGTTGTGCGACTTACAATATTTTGACGTAATTGTTCCCTCTAACTGTCGTTTTATGCTTTTGCATTACAAAGATAAAAACCTTGTGATTTTGCAACATTGTAAACTGGCAACTTTAAACTTTATTTGCATTTGAAAACTAGTGACAGTAACTTGCTTCTACCGAGCACCCGAAGGTAGTTTTAAGACACTAAGAAGCTATGCTTAACAGGCAGTGTCCCTGTCTTTCTTTTGGAATGGACCAAACCTCACAATACCTGCGCCTGGAATTACAGAGGCTAGAGTCCGTGACCCTTACCAGTGTGCCATCTCTATACCTCTAACAGTTTTATCGACGCATTTCTGTCAGATATGATAGTCATTACGTATGACTTCTAATAAGAAAAATACAAAAGGAAAAGCGAGAAAACAGCATTTAACGAGGTTGTTACGATAACGAGATTGTTTTTAGTTGTTCATGCATAATTCTTTGCATTTACGTTTACGTTTTTTGCATTCTGAAAACGCTTTAGGAAGTATTGAGTTTCATCTATCCTTTCACGTCATATTGACGTCAATTCCAAATTTTGACGTCATTCAATTAATTAGCTATCAAATCTAGAAACATCCTAAGTAGAAAGCTATAACAAACGAGATAGTTTACACAATTAATGGAACCCATAACGAGCTTTGATTTCAACTGTGAATCTTGCGCATTTTCACTTCGCCCGAAAAAAAATTTGACAGACAATATGTCCTATTCAGCGGAATATGGCAGCTTATCTTATGATGGGTCTCCGAATTTACCTCCCTTGGACTGAACATTATTTTTTACCTTAAACATTATCATGAATCTCTTCTGTTAGCTAAGCATAAACTCGTAACTTGCTCTTCTTAAACTTTTTTGAGCAATGTCAACAAATTCCCATCATTAATCGGCTTCCATCGTTAAAAATACTTCCTTTGACCACAAAGGCTAACTTTCAATTGATTATTTTGCCCATTATCTTTGGAAACCATGAAAACAATTTTGACACGAATTCCTGATCTTTCTTGTTTTCTTGCCCTTGCTTAACATATTTGAGTTTCGGTCTTCGAGCCCAATTCTTTTAGGTTTCTCAAAATTTTAAAAAAACTTGTCCCAAATTAGCTTGTAAGCTAGATATTTGGACACACTGATAAAAATTTTATTGACTGATTGATTGTTGATTGAACGATTGGTTGAAGTGATTGGTTGACTGGCTTTAGTGGTTGGTTGATGGGTTTATTTATTTATTCATTTATTGCATCTGCTGAAAAACATGCTACATAAGACCAAAATTTAGAAATTGGTTATTCACGACAACGTTTAACTGAAATATCCCACCTTTGATATTTCTCCTTCGTGACCTTCTAGCTTACAGATGCACTGATGCGTGACAGCATTGTAAACTCTGGCTGAACCATCAGCTGAGCCAGTGACAATGTATTGCCCGGTATAGTCGAAGCACACATCGAGTACTTCATCATCATGGCCACTAAAAAGCAAAGTACAAGGGAGCTCAGACCGGTGCTTAAACTCTTCTATAAGACAAGCTTCTATAAGAGAATACACTACCACCTGGTCATAAAGGGACTGATAAAGAACAGAGAATGACAGGAAATTGTCATGTATCCCTGCCCTCTTTTCTCTTGATTTGTTTTAGATGACCAATATTAGGAAACATTAATTTCATCAAAATAGTTCAGAGTGATATTAAAAATAAACATGTTTTCAGGCTCCATTTTTGTCCTAAATACAGTGGCATCATAATCATCATTATCATTATACATTATTTTTACACACAAAAAATCACGATTTTAAAAAAGATCCGAAATAAATCTGAAATCACGGCTTTTATCGTAAGATATGAACCTATTTTTCAAGAACAACGAAACTGCAATATCTGCTATGGCGAGTGGCTTAACAAATCAAAATCGCAGAAGGATGCTCGCGATTATCCCTCAAATGGTTTGCTATAACTCTGGCATCCTTACCGTAAAGTTCCTATACATTTTCCACTCGATGTGTCCCAGATTTTGCATGTCTTGTCCTGAAAAAGAAATCAGACGAACTCAATGACCACGGCAAAAATGGCAGCCTTTACAGGTCATGTAACTCCTATTTCACAGCAAGTTTTGCGTGACAGAAAAAGCTCTTGATTTTGCAGAATATGACACTTTCTTAACTTCAGCAAAAAGAAAGTTAGTTTATAGAAATTGATATTACACCTTGTACTCTAAATTATTCCTCGATAGAGAAGTACTTTATTTCATAAGAATAAATTACTAAGAGCGACAGTGACAAAAAGAATCATAATTTTCTTGGAGGACAGGTAAAGCGAATGCTCCGAGATTAGCTCTGACATTAAATTTTGAGACAATAATCACTCTACCGTTATGCAAATGAACTCCATTAAAAAAGAGGGAACGAAAAATTGATTGACTGCAAAAGATTTTCCTGCAGATATGTTATCTCTGGGTTAAGGTAGATCTCTAAAAGTTAACCTAAAGGAGGTTTACTGTTTCTTGATTCTTTTTTGTTGAATTAATCTTTGAGATAGGAATTGATGGCGATTGATGACATTAGGTCATCATACATCCTTTGCTAAAATGCTAAAAATGGGGTTTAGTATCTCTAACTAATTTAACAGGGGAAGGTTAAGGGGAATAATGCCACTTAAGTGGAAACTTCCAACTCTTCTACCGAAAAGTTTTGTTTTGTTGGCGACGAAGAAGCAAGAATAATATTCTGTATTATTTCATATTTAGCCACTAATGCCCGCAAAGCTGTGCTTGCGGAAAAGTGTGCGCAGTTGGTATAATGAAGCCTTATTACTAGCCTCAAACGCATACTCTACATTTAGGGAAAACTCAGGGCTTTAGAGTTCAGTGCACCCTCGTTTATTCTAAACTCAGTTATGCGAACATTGTTTATCCGAACACCGTTTTAGGCGTTATATTTTATACCCGAACATATTTTCATTTTACAAAACACAAATTTAAGCTCACCTCCAATTATATTCGAGCCCTAAAATGAATCCATCCAGTTACAAAAACATACAAATGAGTTTGTATTCTTTCCTTGCGTAAACTTCCAGCCGAGAGACGTGAAAGTAGCCGAGAAAAACAACCATCGACTCATTTTTAAATAGATATAAGAATTAAGTTGTTATATTAAAGTTCTATTTCTATATTTCATGCCATGAGTACTACTGATAAGTAAATTATATTTTTGACTCTTTCTCGTGTCTTTTGTGTGATTTTTCCTAACCGAAATTTCATCCCTAAGCATCAAACACTTGGCTTAACCGAACGGCTCATCTCACATTCAAAGGTGTTGGGATAAACTAGGATGCACTGTATCAGATACACATTCCCAAAAGACAAAAAAAGATGAGTACAACTTCTTTACCATCGAGCCGGAGACTATGAGAGAACAGTCAAAGTTGAACTGTGCATTTGAAATTTCTCCTCTATGGCCAATCAGCGTGTGAATTCTCCTGAAATGGGAAATTTGCATGAGGTAAGAATCTTGCAAGGTTACATTTTCAAAAACAAAATAGACAGACGGCTAAGAAATGTCCTTAGAACCAGAAACTCAAGAAAGAAATCGCTTGTCAAGCTGGAGAACTCTTCATAAATATCACCCCTCTTCTCCATTTATTCCCCTCTTAGAAAACGAAAGGACCAATCAAATGCGTCTTTTTTCCTCTCATGTTAATTTCGTTCAGTATCTCGATATGAATGTTCTGCTTTCTTCCGGTCATTATCCGACGTTTAAACTCTGAAGAGTGTCGGACGAAAAGTGCTTCAGTATGCTATATTTCCAGAATTTCGTGCCATCTTCAAATTTAGTGAGTTTTCATTGATGACCCAAATTTAAATACTTTCAAGGAGTTCATTTTGCAGCTTAGAGGGAAATCTGTAGTGCCATGGATAGGACGCTCAGTGGACTCAGCCACCTTGTCAAAATTAGAAGAGATTTAAGGGAGGGGGGGGGGGGGGTGGCTGAGCCTTTTCAATGTGTCCTTAATCATGCTATTGATTTTCAATGAATGAGCAATTTCGGTGATTAGCTTGAATGATTTCGTATACAAACTAAAAACAAAAACACAAATGTGAGTGTACAGGGTTAGACCGTGGGTGTGGTATTAGGTGTGGCTTCTAGACGTTCCCTACAGTACAGCCCCCATTTCTAACTTTTTAGGACGGCACCCAGGGAGAAAAATTTACTTTTAAAGACAAAAAAGCTTAAATGTACAAAAATGTGGGCTTTCACGAAATGCATATTTCATAATCTACAACATCACTAGAACAAATCTTTGATTTTCTTTGTGCAACATTAAGTAACTACAAACTCATCCTCTCTTAAATTATTCCACCACCAGAGCAAGCAACTCAGTGCTTCGGGTTCTCATGGCATATTATATATATTTGAAAGCACGCGTTATTATCCGGGGTCTTACTTCTTGAAATCTGATAAGGATCAGATAGCAAAAACTCTACAAGTCCTGGGTTTCACTTATCAAGTGTATACTGTGTTTAGTAACTAGTTAGAAATTTATAGGTTTAATTTAAGAGAAACTTAATAAAGCAGATACTAGCCTTCCACTTCGCACATCCCAAATGCTCACAGTGTGGTCGAATGAGCCAGTTAACAATTGATCACCCACTGTATTGAAGGACGCGCAAATTATTTCAGCAGAATGCCCCTACAGGACGAAATTAAAAAGTAAATAATCAACGTGATAAAAGTCTAATGAGATATCACAATTCGTCGTTGAGTAAAATTTATTGAGCTTTGAAAAGATGAAATCTCAAAAACAGATGAATAAAGACAAAATCATACTTGTCAAATAAGGTGAAGCTAAATCCAAGATAAATAGAAACAACATGATGAATTTTACTTTTTCTAAGATACATTGATCAATAGCCATTTAAATCTTCGTTAAACGTTGAGGATTAATAGGAATGTTACACCATTCTATTCTGATGTTGAATCGATATTTTCTCAATTTCGCACATTTTTTACTACCTCTGTGTTTTGTAAAGACCTAACCGTAATTTTAAATTTCAGCATTTGTCACTGTTTACAGACGAGAACAAAAAGGTTCAAGTCGGGTTTTAGAAAAGCGAATAAGCAAATCGAGTCAAGGAATAAAGAAAGGAGTTTAAATAAGGCCATTCCTTATTCAATAGATCAATTATTTATGAATAGATGGACAAGATTGATTTTATTTATCAATAAGGCAGTGAGGAGCAAGCTAAATACTCATTAAAGTACAGAAGAGATAAAGAAGAAACCTACAGAGAGTGTACACAATTCAACTCCTTTTTGCAAATCCCACAGTTTTGCAGTGTGATCCATGCTTCCAGTTGCAATAACCGTACTTTGCAAATTGAAGGAGAGACACACCTATACAATGAGATAAATTTTGAAAACATTGGAAACCAGCGAGTAACTTGCACACATGCATACAAGAGTGGCTGGTGTATATTCTCGTCAGCATATATAATCTAAAGGCAGAAAATAGACCCATTTAATGTCATAACAAAATTTACTGACTGTGTTTTTGTCACAAGCAATTGGTTTTTTGTTTTTCTGCGACAAGGGACTGAAGAGAATAAGCCATAAAATTTGCTGTCTGCGATATAAAATAAACACACAACGTGTTAGCTTTTGCACTAGTATGCGATAGGCTTACCCATAATTAAATTTTGATTAATCTAGAAAAGTGGTTAGATTTGTGGAATATGTTTTACAGGTCTAGATAATTGAAATCATGTAGCAGCAATCTCCTCTTGAGCGTACTTCTTATTAGGCCATAACAAAGTCAACAGCAGGTGAGAGGATTGCTCAGAGGTTAGAAGACGGACTACAGATCCAAGGGTCTGTGTTTCGAATCACTGACGTAATCAAACTTTCACCTAGAGTGAGGGGAGTCGCAAACTCTCCGTTTTTCCAGGCGTAGGAATCACGAGATGTGGTTATATCGAGAGGAAGGAACAGGACACTGCTCGATAAGCACAGCTTTTAAGTGTCTTAAAAACTACCTTTGAATTCTAGGTAGAAACAAAAGCACAGCGTTAATAAGAAGCATTTCTGAACATAACGGTGTTTCTGACATATCAGCATTCTTAAAGGCGAAGAAAACATTCAAACAATCAGATATGCATACGTACGATTTCTGACGTATGTCCCCTGAATGTATGATAGCATTTTCCAGTTTCAGAATTCCAAAGCTGAAAAGGGGAGAAAGATAGACTGTTATGCCGTTCAGCGTGGTGCAGCAGATAGGGGCCATGGAGGTTTTGGATGGAGTGGTGGATGGGAGTCAAGATAAAGCTTGTGAACTAAAGGATGTGGAAGTAAAAATGGCAAGTAATCTCGAAAAAAATTGGCCTAAATCGCAAAACACTGCAAAGGAAAAACACATGCTTAGTTGTCATGGTACGTTTATACAACCAAGCTCTCTGTTTCATTCCATACTAATGAATTCTGAAAACCTCTATTTCATCTCTCCTAAAAAAACTCACCTTCAATTATAAGCTGCCGTGTCTCCCCTTTTCCCTTTTACGTAAGTTTTCTATTTTATTCTTGTAGCTTTGTTCTCTCACTACTATTCAAGATTTTTGAAATTCAGATTGTGTAATACTAAGAACTATATGTACAACACTAACGTATGTAATAGGAAACTGGGCTCGAGAACTTTTAGGTTTATCTCGGTATCCTGGAAACACTTCATGAACATTCTTTCATGATATATCACTTCTTTGTTCTTATGACAATAGACGGGTTTGAGTAAATAGATCTTTAATATTCACGTTTTAAGTGTGTTGCTTAATGAAATGAACTTTGAATTGCATTTGGAATTTATTATGTGATATTTCGATGACTAGATGATTGTGTGGCATTTGCAGATACGAACAATTAGAAGAATGGAGAATTTGATTTGTTGTTTTACAATTTTCTGTCTGGTAACTCTCCTGAGTGATATGAGAAGAATGCAATATAGAGAGCTGCAAAAGGGACGGAAATACAAGGGAACCTACCTTTGCAGTTTTATCGAATGACCCGGTGGCGATTTTATCGCTGAAAAAACAATACAGATAATCTGCCGTTAAGGGGACAATAGTTAAAGATCACCTGTAATGGCAAAAAAAATTTTCTGCCAGAATTATTGCTAGGATAAGTATTAAACACACCAGATGCATATCTAAGATAAGTTTTCAATATCAGACGTTCCTATTTTACACAGGTTCTCTTTATGTGAACAGCGATAAGTTAAATCAATTCATATTTACTATTTGCTCAAATCTTTTGATAAGGAGCTATTGATACACCGTAAAACTTAATTTATCTCTATTGTTATCGATTTTTATCGGTAGCTTTCGCGATTGTTTCTTAGGGAAAAAGGAACGATGGTTTCTTAGGAGGGGTTTACTCTCATGAAAGGTAACTCACGAGGGTGGACTGATTTTCAAGCGTCATCACTAGGGTGGACCTAATTAGACTTTTTTGCAATTTGCGATGCGTGGTGTAAAAGAACGTGCGGGAAGTAACTTTAATGAGACGTGGAAAGGAACGGGGGACATTTAAAGAGATGAAGCAAGGGCGGGAAATTCGAATATATAGCAAGTGTTGCAAATCTGTTTAGTTTTTCGCAAGTTTTGCAGAGTTGGCGAAAGTTATTTAAAGGTTGCGACTGGAAATGGTGTACTTTTTGTAACTTTATACTCAATGCAATAATTTCTGCGGACTAATAAATTAACAAGACAATACTGGAGGAAGCCAGCTGAATTCACTACCTTGTAGACCTTATAGACAAGGGGATGTGTAGCCCTGTTTACATTTCAAATTTAACTCATGTACATCCCGCGTAAAAGTAATCCACATTCGTTTTCATCAGTTTGAAGGCAACAAGCCCAATCCGACCCGTGTTGAGGCTGATTTCCACTAGGCGAATCTTTTCGTGCGAATCGGATTTTTGCCAACATGAGCATGCATGGTGTCATGTTCTCAAATTTCGATTGGCAGAAAGTAGATCACGGTCAGACTCTATCACGACGACTATTTATTCGATTCGCGCGAAAGAATTGACCTAGTGGAAATCAGGCTTTAATCTAGCCCACCTTCGATAGGTAGGCTCGACTACACGAATTGGGACGAACCCGGGTTAGTTTGATCTCGTGCATGTGCAATGCTATTCTATATAAAAGGACGCGTCGAACAATCATTTCATTTCTACATTCGTCCACTCCAGACAACGTCAAAGTATTAACGATGAAGGGCGAAAAAATTGACGAGGATCGATGAAAGGGACGGTAAACTTGCAAATTCGTGAACAAGTTTGCCGAAATACTCAAAGATAGGACACTAGCTCGCGACAAGGTTGAGCAGAATGGAGCAAGTCAGCAAGGTGATGACAATGAAAACGATGTCACATCTCCGGAGGAAATTTCTTTTTTGTCCCTTTAAGATGAGCCCCTTTCACAACCAAATCCCTCTCAGTCACTGTCATCGACATTTCCGACTTTACACTCACTCCTTTCACATCACAAAGATGGTCGAAGCTTTGCATATTCTAGAGCGAAATCTTTTATCTTCATTTTCAGGGCGAAATCTGTTATCTTGCTGTTCAGAGCGAAACCTCTTATCTCCTTCTCGACCTCATTTTTAAACACTAAGCTACACGGCTTATCGGCTTCTAGCATCCAATCTCACTTTTTAATGCTCCTAGCAAAAGCCTTTTTTAAAAAGGCAAGAAGGATATACATGAATATTTTCAACAAAAAATTTGTTAGCGAGATACCATCTCCAACGACATTTCAAATTAACCTTCAACAGTGTAAAACACGCATATGTGCCCAAGTTAACCCGGGTCGAACTCAAATCTATGTCCATAATGTCTGACGAAAGGTAAAATGGGTTCGACCCGGGCTACATTAACCTGGGTTTAATTTCAAAGTGTAAACACGGCCTATTTTTCTCCCTATTTTGGGGACTTTTACGCACAGGGAGACTTATACTACACAGTCCATTGTTTACATGGCAGTGGATTCAGCTGGCTGCTTCCAGTATATTTAGCTCCAACTCATCAAACCAGTCTTGTTTCTCGCAAATTGGTCGGATTCAAGCAGAAGAACATTTTTATGCTGTTGTAGGCTGGCTTGAATAAGCTATTTGAACAGATCTGCCCTCAAAGACAGGGTCCATCTCCAGATCTACAAGGCATTCTTACTTTACATTGTCCTAAAAACAGCAATGAGCATAGGTTCTTCGTTGGAATCCAAACTAGGTCCTTCGTTACACCAAGCCGGATTCATCCAGTAAGGAACTATATTTCATATCTGGTAAAAGGGTAGTTACAATTACACGACATCGCAATAATCTGGCCTTATTTCGGACCCGTTTTACGGAGTGAAAATGCCCATTCTAAAGGTCCCCATCCCATTCTGTTTGGTGTGACTGCATAGGCTCGATGCAGTATCGCTTTCGAATCTTCTTTTAGAGAGAGAAAGAATGGTATAGGTCCTAGAGTCTTATGGCACAGTAAATTTATGCCCGCACTCAATGGCGGATTTAAGGGGGGGGCAACTAGGGACAGTTGCCTCTCCCTCAACGAATTAAAGCAAGTCTGGCGCCCCTTTTTTGGAAACTGTGTGCCTCTTTTGAAGAATGAGACTTAGCGGTTAATTTACTTCAAGGAGTACCTCGAAGTATACAACAAATATTGTGATAATTCCCTAACAAAGTGAATAGAGAGCCTTCTGTCAGTGGTTAGGGATCTGAAATTGTTGTATACAGCGTACACTCGTCACCAATTTCCGAAAATTTTTCAGCGCCCCCACTACCAAATACCTTTCCTTCATAATTTGCTCTGGATCCACCTCTGCCCGCACTATGCAGGGCAAAGAATCAGGTATGGTGTGGCTCAAAGGAAAATGATGCCATTTTGTCTTTAACAATTTCAAAACAATCCGACGGCATAAGTAAGAAAGTATTGTGTAATCAAGGTCTTCAATTCATCTATGTTGAATTGAATTCAAATTCAAAAGAATTCTAAGAAAAATTTTTGTATCTATCATTAAAATACTTGCATTGATGATACAAGCAAGAGAGGCATCCATTAGCTACTCTGAAAACGAGGCACTCACCCATAAGGATTGTTGTAAGCGACGGCGTAAACCACGTTCTTGTGGCCCTCCAGAGTGTGAAGCTCCTCCCCAGAGGCAGTGTCCCATATTTTGCAAGTTCGGTCGTAGCTGCCAGTTATAAAGCTAGGGGAAAGAAAACCACAAAGAATTTTCACAAACATAAGAAAAGAAGCCAAAGAGCAACATAAAAAAATCAACTTTTAAAAGGGAAATTTAAGGCACTATGAAGTCGTCTTAAAAAATTTTATCAGCACAGAACACCTATTTCAACAAGTACAGTTTCAAAATAATATTAAAAATTACCAAACAGCAATGAATTTACAATCGGAATTTTTAGTGTAAAAAGACAGCACTCTATTCAGCTTTATATTATGGGTAAAATATCATAACATCTCCTTGTTCTAAAAAGATAGTCAGCAAATGTATAAATCGCCAAAGAAAACGATATATTATACAATAAACTTTTGAATAGCAAAGAAAGGCAGCAGTAGATCAAAAAAGTAGAAATAACAGCAACATTTGGGAGTAAAGTATAAACATAAAGTTTCTATCGAATAACTCACCTGGAACCAGATTTGTTGAATGCTACATTTGTAAGTGGGAGAATATGAGCACGTAGAACCTGAAAGCAAGAGGAATGTGAACATGTAAGGGTAGCATCGCACAAAAAAGTAATGATTAGGAAAGTTGAATAAAGAAGTGCAAAAATGTGCAACAAGTTGAGCCAAAGTAGTGCAAAAATCAAATTGCTGCTAGAATGAATAGGAAGCACGTGGATTATGAACAACAGGTAGATTGTGAAAAATACTTGCCTGAATAAGCATACCATCAAAAGCATCTATCAGAAGGTTTCCAATTTAATTGCTAACATATATCTATACTCTTTTGATCTTTGCACAAATATATGGCCTTTCATGAGAAATAGACGCACGCAAGATCCAAAATCCAAAGAATTCGAGTAAACTTTATCAGAATTTGAGTCCTTTTTGGTTTGTCAAAATGTTCATTAAACCATAACTTTGTTAATCTGGACTTACAAACACCAAGTACAAAACACAGAAAATTTGATCATGAGACGACGAACAAAAATGGCACCTACCTTGAATAGGTAGAACTTTCTACTGTCTTGTTGACTTAGCTTTTCTTGTAACCCTTGGTTAAATCAAGGAAATCACATTCGAATTTCAAAATTGAAACAAACCATAGATTCTGAAATTCCATTGGGACTTCCCAAGTGCTCCTAACAGGTGAATCTGTGCCCCCAAACTGTCAACGAGGACTTTAAAGTTGAACGTGTATTTGTGTGCTGAGTTCAATTTGCAAATTTTAAAAATATACAGAAGGCTTGATATAGAAAATAATGTTGCAGAGAGCATTATCGAAAACAAAAGAGAAGCTAAGAAAACGCCTTGGAATTTAAATGCATTTATATTTGAGGGCTTTGGTAATTCAATAAAATAATTTAATTGAGGGGTAATAGAATTAGTTTTGATGCAAAGTGTTAATATACTTATTTATGCCATAGAATTATAAGCAAAAAACCTCTCTCATTCAAATAGCAACTTCAAAGGATTGAATTAAAATTTCATAAGTAATTACTTCAATCTAATCATCATTTTTAAAGAAACTGTTGCAATATTTTGAAAAGAACTCGGAAATAATTTTTTTTGGGGGGGCATAAATCTAGTAATGTCTTGCTATAGCAATTTCAATCGAAAACATGAAATTTTGAGTTTATTGACTGATTGTATTGTGGAGCTGATTCATTAACATAAGGTCAGACACAGGGTCAAACATAGGGTCAAACACAGGGTCAGACACAGGGTCAGACACAGGGTCAAATACAGGGTCAAACACAGAGTCAGACACAGTTTCAGACACAGGGTCTGAACAAAGCAGTGAACATTAATACCACCACAACCAGGAGACCTTTCAGATTGTAGGTGAAAAGAAAGCAAAAATATTCCAGGATTTGCTTCTGTACAAAATCATGGACAGACAAAAAGGAATCAGAGTAAAAGGAAAACCCCAACCAGAGAAGCATATCTATTCTCTTTGTCATGAGGCAAAAATTCACAATAAATATTCAACTGAAAGGAGAAAGGATACGCAAGATGAGCTTTCTAACTTGCTCCATTTTCGATGGTGTCACCAACGGCTCCTTTGCAACAATATCATCAAGGATTGCATCAACATCAGACCTTACACAAAACAATTATAAACAACTTAATATATGCTCTAAACATAAAAACATTTGCTTAGCAAGATATTTGTTTCACTGCAAAATTTTGCAAATAAAGGCACCGTATCAAATATTTGATGAGGTGAGGAATGCTAAAAACATTTACAAAGTAAAAAATGAACACAGGGTTATTCTATCTCAAATCAACACCATCCCACACATCTTGACACCCATAGTCTTAGAATTGGCTGGCTTTATTTCAACATTGATCCACACTAACAACTATCATTTTAAAACAAAACGCTGTTTTAGATCAAAAGTTTATATCTTCTTTATTATTCTTTCATCATAAATACCCTTATTCGAAGCAGTGAAAAGAGAAACTAGGTTAGAAAGATCGCATAAATTTCACAAGTTTTAAAAGCACCTTCATACTGATAGCCAGAATTTACTCTACTCTAGATCTACTCTGACATATTTTTCAGTTAGATATATTCAACTTACTCTGGTTTCAAATCCAAAAGGTCAATTGACTTTGTTTTCAATGTCTTTGACTGTTCATATTCAAGGATAATACCTGCAGAAATTGAAAATTTTATCAAGAATAAAAATAATGTATTTAGATAATATTTCTTAGAGATCATCACTGGGAGATAAAAAAACTCAATTTTGGTTACTCTAGTTAATGTAATAAATGAACCATTTTTATCTAAAAGTGTCCATGAATATTTCCACAGTGGACTTAAAATACAGGTTCTAGTTTGAAGTCACTAAAAACTTGAAGACTGAAGTTTTCTTTAAAGACACAATTAAATCATAATTGAATTAAAGAAATAATCAAAGACTCAATTAAATAAGTATTGATAATTCCTTCTATACATGTGGATACAGTTCTTACTCTATATAGATTTTAAAAATTTTAAATTTGTGGAAACAGTTCATAAATATATGACCCAGTGCATAATGGTTGGAAATATCAAACCAATTCTTTTTTCTTCAATTTTATTTTATCAATTTTCCAGAGATTTCAAAATTAAATCCATTATACATTATACTGCACTTTGAAACCTAGCAATTCCTTATTGCTTTATATTTTGAAACAGTTTGATCATTAGTGAGCAATGGCAATTTTTGAGAAAATTGGCTGGCTTTTGGAGTTTGCACCCAATGACAATCGGCCAAACATTTTCGTGTTTAGATTTCATTCTGCCCCAAATGATTACATGAAGTAGCATTTGGATGGATATGCTTTGACACTTTTCTCTATTTCTAAATATTCAGGGTTGTTTTCACCATTTAATACAGTTTTCATTGAGAAAGAATTTACAACAGTACATAAACAAGAACTGGAAAAAGTTACTCTGTTCTGCCCCATTCTGATAACAATCCGCTATAGTGAAACTCTGACTTAAAGGGGGATTATGCTCTTGCTGTACATTTCCAATCAATTTACTGTTACAGTCATAGTCACAGTCGCAATAGAGCTGCTATTCATGTAGGCAAGGCAGAAACAATCATATCCAACCAGCTGGCTGATTAATGTTACATCACTGAACCCATGCAGCTTCGCTGTTATCTAGTCATCTAGTTCTAGTTATCTTATCGCTGCTACGTCTTGTTAAAAAAGAGGGTTTTGAAGCAGAATGCCTGAGAATTCTGCTTCACATGTGCAATAAAGACTGAAATGTGTGTTTCTCACACAAAATATGTGAGACTTTGTCTGACTTTGCTGCCCTTATGTCTAAACAAGTTGCAAACTGTAAAATGTTTATTAGCTTTTTAGCCTAGACCTGAACCTAAAGAAATATACAAGTCAGACAGGAATATTGCAGAAATTCTAGGTTTTATATATAGTTATTTCATGACTGTTACCTTTGAGAAAAGTTCTCGAGTTATATTTTTAATACTGTGACCCTATACTACAATTCAGCAGAAATTATATTTACACCTTACAATGGAAGCAAAGATAGAAAGCAATCACCATCTCTCTACATTTTCCTATAAGCAGGAAAATGTGATAACTTAGAAAATCACAATAAATACTACTCAAGGGTCTTGAATAAGGAAGATTAGAGGAATATGCAGGTCGTTAGAGCTCTTTCCAAAACCAGGGTTAAGCTTACAACGTTTGTCTGAATCAATAACCCCAAATCCAGAAGAGATCCAAGGGGAGTCTCTTTTCTCAGAATCATTACTAAAAACCTTCAACAAGGAAGGTTGTAATAAGCAGGAGGTTAGGGTTCTTTCCAAAAAAATGTTTATGTTCCCAATATGAGTCTAAAAAAATAGCCACAAATCCAAGAGATCCTCAAAGAAAAGTGTCTCTATTTTCAGAATTGTTATTAAAAATCAAGACCTCCATGGTTTAAACAAGCTTTTTATTGTGAAAATAAAGAATAATATGGTTTACCTCTCTTATAACCAAGAATGAAAATGCTTTGCGTCTTAAAAAAGGGAAAGGAATGACTCCCACAAATCCCTCAACCTACTGCAAATTCATTAAAGTGTTGCCTTTAATCAAAGCTAAGTTACATAAAGATGCATGAAGAAATCATTAAATATGATAGCACGTGCACCTGCAAATGTTGATACCAAGAAAGGGTTGTCACCGATTTCGTACCTATACAGACCTACCAAGTCACACACATTTTGCGCGAGACACACCCATATTGGTCCTTTCTCACGCTCACATGCATCGAAGCAGGATTCTCACGCATTTTGCAACAAACTTCTTGGTTTATTTAATTCATTCAATTTTTATTTCAAATCCTAGCAAAATCTCTCTTTCTTAACAAGGCATGTTGGCACGATAACAGCGACTAGATAATAAGATGACTAGATAACAGCAAATCTGCACAGGTTAAGTGATGTTACATTTATTGGCAAGCCTACATGAATAGCAGGTTAGCTCTATTGCGACTATTTGGGATATCAGTTACACTATGAAGCTCCGCTTGCTCATACATACATTCCTTCCTCTGCATTTCTGGTCCACAGTGCTATGCACTTTTGCAATCAATTGCGCAGCGCAAATGCACCAGATTAAATTATTTCATGATTATGTACTGTTATAAATTCTTTTTCAATAAAAACAAAATAAAATGGCAAAAAACAAAGCCCCCTTGGTCCCCCTGCCGCTTCTGCGGTCCCTGCTAAAAAGGTGTTTCTGAAGAACTAGAGGGCGTGGCAAATAAAAAAGTTTCTGGGGCTATGCCCATAAACGCCCATAAGTTTCTGGGGCTACATAATCTTCTCAACATTGATAACATGTATAAACTTGAAGTTGCTAAATTCATGTTTGATATTTATCATGAAAGCGGTATTGACCTATTCAACAACCTGTTCATTAAAACAAATATAACGTCATCAGCATGAAACAAGACAGTCTTCAAATGACAACTCCTCTTTCCCTTTGGTCTTGACAAATTACAAACAAAAGTCAATTGTATATGAAGGAGTCAAAATTTGGAATTCCCTGCCATTGCAAATTAAAAAGTTACCGAATAAGTCATCTTTCATCAAAAACCTGAAAAGTTATATTTTAAAGTCGAATTGATATACTTATTTGAACCCAATTATGAACATTATCATTAAACATATATTACCACCATGCATCTCACTATTGTGTTTTTAGTATAACCAATTAACATCTCTTATTATACTAACCCTATATTATCTTGATATTCCTCCCTTTTATTTTTAATTCACATTCTTTTTTTGAAATCGATCACCTACACCTATACACGTCCAATCGGGCATATGACCTAGATAGCTCCTTGTGAGTTCTTTTCATATGTCTGACAGCAAACATACCAAACTTCGAACTGTCTCCTGTATGTAGTTTTTCTTTTTTGTAAAAAATAATTGTTATTTGTGGTTCAAGTATTAAATAGAAATGTAGTAGTTAATTATTGCTGTGAATGAAATGTTTTGAGTTTGAGTTTGTACGCCCTGTGACCCTACTTTGCTTTGCTTGTGTGTCGGTCAGGAATCGTTCTACAAGACCCCTCCAATGACGACCCTTTCTTTTCAAAAAACTCACTCATTTTCAAAACTGAAACTCTACAGGTCTGCCTATATTATGAAAGAATCCTAAAAAACAAGTAAACACAACCAGCCCTAGTTTTCAGAACTACATTTCACCGTCATCGTAATTTCCAATTTGTATTCACGTTTCTCGGGTTTTAATTATAAATCTGCTAAGCTGTGAAGGAAGCAAGAAGTTATTTAAGAACTACAAACATCGAAATTTCTTTTCTATTTCGTTTACTTCCAAAAATAGTAACATGATGCCATCTATCTTGTTACTATTTTACTTACCTGGCGGGTAATATCTAAGTAGAAAGCGACGTAGCCTCATTTTTGCAAAGTTTTCCTCACTCCACTGATAAAAAATGATGTTACTTCAGGCCATTTCGTAGTCGCTATGAAAGTATTGAGTCTCCCGCCAATTAAACAGTTGCTACCTAGGCCTTTTTTTGTTCTTTCCGCAAACTAAATCTGCCTCTAAACGAGGCTTCACAAAAATGCCTGCGTAATGGTTATAAAATGGGCAATGCGATGAAATCACGCCTGTGTACAAAGACCAAGATACAACTTTTTGTTGGGGGAGGGGGGGGCAGCCCTGATAAAAAAGTGTAAAACAGCCATATTTTACGAGATAAAATTACTTTATTTATACTACTACTTTATTTTTAAGTTTTTTGGGGGGCCCTCCGGTATCTCGGTCCTTGCATTGCATGTGTTACAAGCCCCGGGAAAACCGTCCACGACGAGAATTTTCCTGACAAAGAAGTCCCCCTTCGAAAAATCTTATGACCCAGAACTAGTTAAACTTCCCCACATTGCCCGCAATCCAAGATTTTTTGTCCCTGACTTCGCATTTTGATCTTTAACTTCCCTCTTCAGCACGACATGATAATAATTTTGGACAATCCCCTAAAAATCCAAGACAGATTTTCTTTCCCCTCCCTCTTATATTTACCTGCTATCCCCCGTTAAAAAATCCTTGCTGGGCTTGTTGCACAAGATTGTTACTAAGTAGAGAATTGGCCTGCTGAAACAGGAACATTGGCCTGCAGAAGTGGCGTTGTGTTGAATAAGCAGAAAGCAATTGCAAGGGTAGCCCAAAATGGATCGCTGGTCTCACTTAGCGAGTAATGTATAAGCATCTTTGTAAATATTACCCGTCTCTATGTGTAGACTTACTTCAAGTCTTTCACACCGTGTGTGGATATGCCTGTCGGAAACTGATTTAAATAATCAACTTATACCCATTTACTGTTAAGCTGCAGACTTCGAAGATTCGCAAGCTGATCGTGTGAGCCTCAAATATCTATAACGCGCGCAGACCAATCGTTTCTTTAATCGAGAGAAAATGAGAGAGTGACAAGAACAGGCCAGGAAGACGTCAGATTTCCACCTTATCATATTCTCATTTAGGGATGCTCATCCAATCGTCTTTAGCTTTTTCCAGAGGCGGCACAGCTACGATTTGGAGTCATCAACATTTCATCTGGTATGGTAAACACGTATCAAGATATGGCAAAACAGTATGTTATGAAAGACAAATCTATATTTCTATTTTTGAAATCGTTCTTTTAGAGTAAACTTTCGTCGATTAATTGTATTGGCGTGCCCTTTTAATTTGTTTAAAAGAACTTGCTAAGAAGGACCTTTACGAACCGAACATTGCTCCAAGGTTAGGGTGTCCGTAAAGGTACACCAAAGTTGGAGTGCATATCTGCAAATTATATGAAAACAAATTTTCGAAAAGAATCATTTTTCCAAGGTCCAGGTTTTAAAAACTCAGAATGAGCAATATCTCCGAGATACAGTTAGATGCCCAAAAAGTAGCTGCATTTCGAAATAGCACCTTTGTGCGAAAGAAATCACATGTGATATTGATAATTTAGTTTAGAAAGGCTGTACAGTAAACCATACTATCACCAAAAAACCTTCCTAAACGACCCAAGCCTCACTTGGTTTTCTGAACTCTAGGCAATGAGAGTAGGACAGATCACTGTCCAACGAAGTATCTAGCAGAAAGCAACTTGATCTTTCAATAATGTTTTTATTCATTCGAAAACAAACGATTGGGAGTACAAAGAAAAGGACATTCTAAAATAAAGCATCAAGTAATGAGGACAATCAAAGTGACGTCATATTTAATAACTGATCAGTCATTTTTAACTCTTTGGCTTGTCATGCGATAAATTATGCTGTCTCTTCCAGGATCCATGTACCACATTACAAGTGAGATGGCGTAAACACTCAGGAACAGAACAACCATTAACCAAAACCACAAGTTGAAAATGACAGGAAAATTCTTGTTGTATAACGATGCCAATTGGATTGTATTTTGATCTCCAGATACCATCTAAAAAAAACAAAAATATGATCGAAGATACCTTCCACTCAAGGCTACAATAAAAAATATGTATTGACAAAATGCCTTGGCTTTTCGACAACCAGCTAGAATTTGAAAATAGATGATGATCTGTCTCATCGATGAAAAGGTGACAAGGAAAAAAAATACGTGCTTCCCTTCTCTGACCCTTAAGGCAGGTGTTACTATGCAATGAATAAGTACAGGAAAGCAGGTCAAGCTAATACAATGTTATTTCATATTGGCGTGGAATTCATTTGAAAATTTCGTTCAATAAATGGGCAACAATTTCGACTATTATCCAATAGACGAAAACAGCTTCAATTATGCATGAGACTTCCTTCAATTGAATAGCCAGATTTGATGGTCACAGTTATACTAAATTTTTCTGAGATGGCCTAGATCAAGAAGGCACTGTTTTTGATACACACATTTTCAATAAGAATTTATTTTATATGAATATCTGTAGCCTGACATTGGGAAATTGATAGTTTGCACTAGATGCAAATAGTTGGCTGAAATGGATCAATCAAAATAAAATCTTTTATGCTGATTTCCAGAGTGCATTATCAATGAGATGACGTGTCTGGCATAAATTTCTCATAAAATGAAATGCAACCAACCTTGGCCAATAAAGATCTTCTTGTCAAACGACGGTTGTCATCCTCATTAGCACATTTAAACTAGAAAAAAAGTTGACAAACAAACTAAGTAACTAACATGGAAAGACATAAACATTACAAAAGCATAGCCTTTTGTATCAAGACGAATAAATATAAAAAAACCAGTGAAGATTGTGCTCATTCGCTAAAAAAAATACCCTAGTAACTTGGAGATGAGGTTTTGCAATTAAATGTTTGATAGGTTAAATTGCAGAACCACATGATACGGAGGACCTGCAGAATGTCATTCCAATTGTTCCTTTTGTTGAAAAACGTGCTAATGAGTATGTAGAATGCATAGCTTCTGATGCAGAAAGCCAAGAACCATACCCCCGATGGCTTACGATAAGATGTTGCTTGACCACGCACTTTCGAAGGTCCTTACATGTCGCCCCATCCAGTACAAAAATTCCCCATTGACGAAACAGTACTTACATTCATATTACCACCGAATCCGGAGACAAGACTTGCCATTTGCTTGCAAAGGGACTGGCGTGCGTGATTTTCCTAAAAAAAAAATTCAAAATAGAGTATATATATTTATCGCAAAACTTGTATATACATTGTATTAGGATGAAATCAAGCATTACTTTCGATAATCTAATACAAAAATATGGATAAATCAAGAGCATCAAAGAGCTTTAAATAAATTAAAATAATGGTTGCATTGTAATGTAAACAGAAATTTATTTTTTTAGTGTATAATGCAATCTTTTATGAAGAGAAAAAAATTAGCAAAGCCGGATAAAGGGAAAAGATTGGGAGACCAAGTTTGTTTATTTTAGTTTTGAAAAAACAACAGGTTATAGGAGTCTTAAGACGTCTTAAGGTGGTAAGCCGTGGCTAAAGCTTTCCAAGGTTAACAAGCTTATGGAAGGAGAGGTGGGTTGTCGGAGAGTGTTAGCGACTTTGGCAAGGAGACTTGGAAAGGGTGGGTACAGGTAGAATTTTGATTGTTGAGTAGGATAGGCTTTAAATCTGAATGCCTACCGAGAACAAGCTTCCAAATCTAATTGTAAAGCAAAATGAAATCAACAACTTACAATTTCATTGGCAACATGGAGTTCTTGAAAGCGAATGTAAAAATCTTCAATCCCGTTCTGTCCTAAATGTGTCTTGACTTTGTCATAAATTCCTTTGTGTTCACCACTCTCTGAAACAGCATCCCTTACAAAGCAAATAGTATAGTCAGATGCGAAAAATAAAGGAATTCTACATAACAAAAGAAACTTGAAAAGCCTTAATATAAAGACTTGCACGTAGATTCGGCGAAGCAAGGTGCATACTTCATATGTCAGTGTTTACCTGATGATCGCATTAAAAGTAGCAACTAAGAACTGTCCTGTTCTATAAACCAAAAGCATGTACAGCTCTGCCTATACGACATCGAGGACTTTATGAGCGACCGGTAAACAATAACTTTCATTAAGTTTTATTTACATATTTTCTGTACAATTTTTGTTTTAAATAGAAATATAATGCTTGATACTTTATCCAGGATCTTCACAACTTCAATGTAATGAAAAATGCTGTTTCTACGCATTGTTCGCAAGGCATGAAAATTCCTTGTGCATTTTCCTTAAAAATAAAAACAAGGTATGTATGAGTTATGTTTGTGAGTATATGAGTTTCTGACAATTATGATTGCGTGCTTACTGATTTGACGTCTTCAACGTGAGCTGAGCAGCCAAAATATTGCCATTGTAAGCCTTGACAAGTTTTTCTGTGAGCTAAAGAAGGAACATGAAATAATACTTTATCAAGGAAAAAACTATAGCTGACCCGACATCACATTAGAAAACTTTAGAAGAAGGCTACCCTGCAAGGCAGGTTGACCCGGGTTGGCTGCAGTTATCATGTAAACATTTGAAGATATTTGACCGTATACGGGCCACCCTATAAGGCGGGTAGCAGCAAACCCAGGCTGGTGTTAACGTGGCCTAATCTTGGCGTTTTTTCCAATATTTGGAAATGCGCCTCTTCAAAGATTGCATCACCAAAGATACTTAAAGAATCACTCTCATAAGTCATAGCTTTTGGGTTGATAGAGACAATACGTGGCTATTTTACTTACTTCAGGAATGATTTTCTCCAGAATCAGAATTGCCGCTTTAACTTGAGGCGAGTTCAAACCATATGTCCTTTGAAGCTCCTGAATCGAAAATAAGTTACCTCTAACAACAATTTTCCATTGTGACTTTTTAATATGCGTCATTGTGACTATGAAGAATCGGAACTATAGGAATATAAACTAAAATAAACGTTCTCCCGTTTTCTTAACCGATAATACTTACGGTGATTGCGAGTAGACACAAGATTATTGTGCGGCTATTGACAACCGTCACATCATGAAAGGTTCTTACGTCACGTTACGTAAAGAATACGGCATCTTTAAGGAGATCCCTTCAAAAATGTATTTGGAATTCTAAATGAGACAGCGACCACTTTCATATATCAAACAAACCTTGAGGCTTGAAAATCCAATCATGAAGACATCAGGAATTCTGTCCCCGACTACATCGTGTTTAACTGCAACCTAAAAGTCATTTACTGTTATTCAGTGGCGGCACTAAGATTGCAATCTCATTTCTAAAAGCAGTTGTCTAAAGACAATAAATTTTCAAATAAACCCCGGTTTTAAGGAAATAAAAAAGAGAAACCAACCTAAAAATATGGGTTAGGCAGTTATTGCCACAACGTAAGAATGAAAAGTCTCTCTGACGCAGTTTAAGTGAGAAATGCACAACCTGGGCAGCTAATACCTAGAGGATTAACTCACCTTATTAAGAAGAATTTTTGTCACTGCCAATTCAGAAAAGAAGAGGAAATCAGCCTAGAAGAAAACATGAAATACACAATCCAGTCATTTCATAATAATTGACAGAATCAATGACTCTTATGAGGTATCGAACTTGACCAATCCATGACACACAGAAGCCACCCCACGACACACAGAAGCCACTCCACGACAAACAAAAGCCACTCTACAACACAAAGAAGCCACTCTACATCACACAGAAGCCGCTCTACAACACACAGAAGCCACTCCATGACATACAGAAGCCACCCCACGACACACAGAAGCCATGTCATGACACACAAAAACCACTCCACGATATACAAAAGCCACTCCATGACACAAAAAACCACTCCACAACACACAGAAGCCACTCCACAACACACAGAAGCAACTCCACGACACACAGAAGCCACTCCACGACACACAGAAGCCACGTCACTGGATACAAAAGCCACTCCATGACATACCGAAGCCATTTCACGACATACAGAAGCCACTCCACAACACACAGAAGCAACTCCACGACACACAGAAGCCACTCCACGACACACAGAAGCCACGTCACTGGATACAAAAGCCACTCCATGACATACCGAAGCCATTTCACAGAACACTCCACGACACACAGAAGCCACTCCACGAACAGCCACGACATACAGAAATCACTTCACGACATACTAAAAAAAACCACAACACATGTTTGTCATACAACGCATGTCCATACTCAGTTGCAAATCTCACGCTTCATGCAATTATTGAGCAACTACCTACGTAAAAGTCAAAAAATGAATTTTGCATGCACACGAGGAAACTTACCTCAGATTTTAAATCAAAATGAACTTCAGCAGTTTTCACTTTGACAACCAGTTGCTCCTTTTTAGCATTATATCTAATTCCTATAAATGGGATAATAATTTGATTAACACTTTGTGAATCATTTAGTGACAATTCTGTTTTACAAGCTTTGCAAAAATGTTTGGAGCTACCTTTAAAGAAAATGATGAAATGATATTCAAATAAGTATTTTTTTCATATTAAGTAGAATACTGTTTCAAGCAATTGATGCTACAGAGCGAAATCATGAATATTATTTTTCTTAGTAAACAGATCTTAACTGCATATAAAAAATAAGAAAAATCAAGCCCATTATTCCTCAAAATAGGAACGTTCTTGGATTGGATTAAAAGATATCTTACAAAATGAGAGGCAGAAAATCTAATGGAAATTATTTGTAGGGTGGTACCCAGGGGTGATCTTCTTTGGACTTTGAATTGAAGGAATAACAAAAGACTACATACCATCTTTATTGAAAATGGAGTCTATCTCATTCAAAAGCTAAAAAAGAATATCACAATTCCTTAAAAATGTGTTAAAGACTACATAAAACAGAACAAGGAACGATGTTAATTTGAAAACTAAGTTCATTTGAAGAAGTTATGGAAAGTGTAAACAGATTCCCTTGCACTATACAATACCGAATAGGCACAAATCAAGCAGGATGATCTATAAAACGTTGTTAAGACATAAAAGATCTTCAAGTCAACAGTGATGGGGTAAGGAGCCTCCTTATGAACAGGAAAGTTAGCTGACAATGTAGAGGAATCAAGAAAGAAGCTGTTAAGAAGATGAAAAAGGGGATTGTTCTTGAAACTGAAATTGCCAAACTTGAGTGGGTGTCAGTAAAGTGTAAAAATCTAAAATCTTGACAAAATACGTGATATTTTGCTTGGGAACAATCGTTGGAATTACAACTTAACATTAAAGCTACAGATGTGTCTCTAAAATTCGTCTATATAACGTTGCTTAAGTATGCTTCGGTCAGTTCAAAACGACAAAGTTTGCTTTGACAAGCCGTTTACCTGTTCCTTGGTGTAAATGACCTCTCCTTTGGGACTTTTAGAATCCAGCATAACCCAGGCATTTTCCTGAGAAAAAACCATTTAATTCACGATTATATTCTAAGAAGATGTACATGAAATTTGGCTGCTTTCAACAATTAATGTATATATGTTACGAAAAATTCAAAATGTCTAGGCTGATCTCCAGCATTCAAATTATTCAATTCCACATTAAACAGAGTAAAAATACAATCATGTTTAAATAAAGAGATTAACCAAGCTCGATATAGCTTGGAAAAAAGAACAAAACTATGGCCTGAATACTTGCTGCTAGAAGTTAAATGATTAATAGCTTTTATTGATTGGTTAAATTAAACTATGGAAGAACTTTAAATGGGATACAAAATTTGATTGCTGCAACTGTCTAGTCAGATAAAGTCTTCTTTAAATACAGCAACAAACACAAAACAAAATACCTTTTTGTTCCAAACTACTGTTTGACTTTTTTCACCATCACTATAGCCAGCAGCAGCAAGCTAAATAAAAAACAGTATATACATTTACATTTACATAGGTTAATTAGCAACCTCAATATTGAGGGCTCCGCTGATGAAATACGATTGGCCACTGCATGCACAGCCGTTTGACAAAAATTGGTTGGGTTGAAATGCAAGGAAAAAATGTAATATCTGTATGTTAACAAAATCACACAAACATTTTCTTAATTTTACAGTTTTCAACTATATCTGCCAAGAGCACTTTCAAGCTGCATTGTACGACTGAGGACAAGACTACCTTTTATTGCTACCCAAATAAATATTTAGTCTATAATTCACCAGCTACCCTGTCAATTTTTCTAATTGAGCATACAAAAAGCTGAAAATTTTCTCCTTTCCTACAGAGATTTAATTCTAAAAATGCCATCATACATGAAATATCTCGTAGGAAACAGCAAAGACTATAATTTTCTTGCATGACGACAGATTTTACCAAAAACAACAAGGGCATGGTTAAATACATGTGCTTGAACAAGAACTAATATGGTTTTATCTAGCGATATCTTGACGCTGATGTGCGGTATGTTTAAAAATAAACGATGTATGTTATAAACAAAAGCAATGCTAAAATGGTAGGGCAAAATTATCTTGCTAAGTGGCAAAAAAAACATTTAATAATATCAAATATAAAATTAAGAATGAAAATCATTCTAAATATATGAGCAGAAAACATTGAAAAACATTATTTTGAAATCTAAAGAGGGTGCTCTCGCCTTGATTAGTTTATGTATTGAAAGAGCTTCACCTTAAGAAATTTCTGACTTACAAATTCCCTTCAAATTTAGTTTTATGGCCTTGTAAACTGTTTTTAATTATCATTTTGTTGTTTTAGTTAAATGGAATTTGTATGTTTCTTTTGGAATTTCAAAATCAAAATTGAACTTGAAATAACTGAGAAGTATGATAAGGCTGTCTAAAGTGGTCAGAATTTGACTAAATGTCATTAACTTACATCTTCATCAGCTGATATTGAAAGTGTATACGATTTGCCATCATAAATGTCGGATAGATGGCTAGACAGAGTCTTTTGATGTGACAAAGACAACATTTCTGTTCTTGAAGCATCTTCTTCCTACAAAATGTAAGCAGTCTGATCAATGCTATCTGGTAAAAAGAAAACAGCCAGTGATAAATAGATTTGGTAATAGAATAACAGCGTTTTTTCTAACAGCCTTGATTAGTTTATGTATTGAAAGAGCTTCACCTTAAGAAATTTCTGACTTACAAATTCCCTTCAAATTTAGTTTTATGGCCTTGTAAACTGTTTTTAATTATCATTTTGTTGTTTTAGTTAAATGGAATTTGTATGTTTCTTTTGGAATTTCAAAATCAAAATTGAACTTGAAATAACTGAGAAGTATGATAAGGCTGTCTAAAGTGGTCAGAATTTGACTAAATGTCATTAACTTACATCTTCATCAGCTGATATTGAAAGTGTATACGATTTGCCATCATAAATGTCGGATAGATGGCTAGACAGAGTCTTTTGATGTGACAAAGACAACATTTCTGTTCTTGAAGCATCTTCTTCCTACAAAATGTAAGCAGTCTGATCAATGCTATCTGGTAAAAAGAAAACAGCCAGTGATAAATAGATTTGGTAATAGAATAACAGCGTTTTTTCTAACAGCAATTTAAAATGTTAAAAGCATGATGAACATTTTCTTTATCATTAATATTCTTATATTTAACACACTAGGATTTATTTGAGACTGCAAAAGCAAGGAAAGTATGTCATAGTTGGGATTTGCAAGCTACTTAGAACATTGTTCATCTGAAGCAGCCTGCAGAGAATGAAATAACAGAAAATCATCAACAGGTAAGCAGAAATTAGATTTACAAGCAGACAATCAATAGCTTCAAACATGGAATATAGCGCCTCTGGTAGGCCCAATGTTTGTACTAATCTGTGGCCACAAACCCTTCTTATGTTTGAATCAAATTACAATTTTTCAAGCAAATTTTTCAACAAATATTCCTTCTATTTCCTCATTACTTTGTACTTATTGCCAATGAATGGCACAGAAAAATAAGGAATAATGCACTTACACTAACTTTAACTGGAAACCTTTCTGAAGCATGAATGTTAAGATCTACACCTGAAAAAGGGCATACCATTATTTCAAGAAAATAAAAATGCCTTAATAAAATTGACCTTACGTTATCGCTCTATTGCAAGCTCTTCTTAAGTCATAGATTGTATGGGAAAAATCATGAAATAATGGCAAACTAATCTTGATATCATTACCTTTGTATCATAACCTTGATATTGTAACCTTGATATCATAATTTCAGTACTCAAATCACTTTTATTTTTATTCAAAATTTAGGCTTTTAGCAATTAGACTTTTGAATAAATTACCTTAATTAGCTTAGTGCTATTGTCAAAATGACATAATGACAGAATGACTATTGAGAAGGACATAATGACTGTTATTTGCCAAATCAAAATGCAAACCATTCTTAATTTTTTAAATGATGTAAGAACACTGAGCAATTAAATACAAAGGGGAATATTAAACTTCCCTTTTGAGCAAGTTAGAAGGGTGCTGAAGTGCACGATGAAAACTTCCCTTCCATAAGGGCTCAACCTGATGCTCTAGTGGAATCCAGGGGGGCAACCTCTCATTATTTTGAGCTAATTTTTGGTGAACATTTCCTTCAATTTTTTTTAATTTTGAAGGTAATATACCAGATAATCCCAATTAGCAGAACTTGGGTCAAAGGGGGAATTTTTTGCACCCAAGAAACTCCCTATCAGACCTTCTAAAGAGCATATGCCATATATATAATTCTTATCACAAGTTTTATTATGATAATAGAAGTCCAGCAAAAGAGGCATAACATCAAAAAACATAAATCCATACATACCTTTTTGAACTGAATCAACAGTGAACAGGACAACAGCATCTGGTCTACTGAAAGGGTTTCCTGAGAGCAGCCCTCTCCACTCAATCTCCTAGAGGCACAATGCAAGAAAACTGCCTATTACAAAAGTATAGGTTATTTCTTAACCTTCTGAAAATGAATGTGCTTAATCTAGGTGATTTAGTGAAAAGTAGCAAATGACTCTCTAAGTCTGAATCTAGTGCATGAGTCAATGCATTATCTTAGAAAGTAGAGACAAAACATTCAAGACAAGAGGGTTTTAAAAACTAAAATCAGATTCTAATTACTGTTTAATAGGTCTATTTACTGTTTAACAAAAATCAGAGGTATCGGGTTGAATTAAACATTGGTGGAGAGGTAAGCCATTGGTCTCCTTTTTCAAGTGGTCTAGGAAGGCACTGAGACACATGTGGGTTATAGCCTGCCTCAAACTGCTTCCCTGGGCTAAGCTTATTAAGGTAATTTTCCTTCTAACCATATTAACTAGAAGCCTTTGCAGACCTAAGGCACATAAAGCAAAGGATGTTCATGTTATTCTTTTGAAATCATGGAATGTGATTGCAACAACCTAACATGATTTGTAGTGTGCATTCAGCTAATTCTGGTTTTTTTCTTTTCCTCACTCAATCCTTGCCAAAATTGTTGGAACACTTGTGCAAAGCTGAAGCTTTTTTTGAAAAATCCCCCCCCCCCTACCCCTCATTACAATATTGTTCAATTCAGCTGTTTTGACGCTGAAGATGAAAAATTTTCACTGGAAGCTGTATGAAAGTATTGAAAAAACAAATCAACATTGTACGGGGGGAGGGGGTTCAAAATTTTTGAAGCGGCAGTGATATTTTGGTAAGATAGTTTTAGACTTGCTTTGTTTATTTGCATGCTGCAATGGGAAGGCGTTCCAGTTATTTTTGGCAAGGATTGTAGTTTGTTATTCTTTCATTCTGCTCTATTTTCAAAGTGTAATAGCAAAACTACCCACTTTCCAGATGAACAATGTAAGCCCAGAACTAAAAGACATTTACTAGCAAAATGGCACTTGGTCAGAGGAAAAGCAATTTTTTTGATTACTTTTACCAAACATTTACTTTTAGTCAATCGTATTCAAGGAAACTGTCAATCTTTTATTCTCAATGCTTTCTATATAAGAGATATTTGCCTTTACACAGTAAGACACAGGTTAAAATAACATATTTTTCAACATTTCAAATAAGATACAATCTTACCTTGGGAGTAGAAAACCCAAGAGCAAGGGAAAGAATACTTGTGATTTCAGTGCTTGGAAGTGGCTTTGGATCCCTTGTAAACATCACAGAAGTAGGCTTGTTAAGGATGCTGAGTACAGATTCATCACTTGGAGGCTACAAAAGTTGTAATATCATACAGCATAACTAGCACAACATTTCAATCAGTACATGGACATTTTTATTGATGATAACATGTTGAAATTGAAACTCTTATTGATCCTTCTTGACCACTTCTAAAGCTATAATAAAACTTCACAGTCAACAAAGTATATATAAAAGGAACTGACATTTTTGCTGTCCTAAATTAAAAGCTTGATCATTTTATTTTTTATTTTTGAGTCTAAATTTATGTGACAAAAATATAAATCAAGTAATAGTCATTGTTGTACAACAGAGGTATTTTGGTGAAAGTACAGATAAAGGTTTACACAACTTCTTAAACGTTTTACAAATTTATTGCTGGTTAAGCATCATCCCTGATGAAAGGAGGTAGAAATGTGTAAATGATAGAAATACCATAGTGCACATAAGCAAATTGTTCACTACAAAGCATCTTGGGATTTAACCAAGACTGACTGTTTAATGTTCATATTACCAATGGCACTATCAATTCATCCAATGACTCATGCTGATAAAGCAAGGCAGTTCCTTTTGTTTCATTTAAAAGTAATTAAAGTGAAAGAACATTCGATTCTGGAATGACTTAACAAATTAAGACACAGCCTCCTGGAAGATGAGCTGTTATTTTAGCTACTAACTCATCATTTTCATGCGCAAACTAAATCTAAATATATACTGCAGTAGATTAGAAGCAGTTGAAGGTGAATTGTGTATATTTTCAATTAAAAAATTAAATGCATCTTTCTGGTTTCATGAATCATCAGCTCAAAGTGTGTAGACTATTTTGCTAGGATTTTCAAGATACTATTTCTCTGTGTAAATTTAAAGGGTGGACATTTCTTTGACATGAAATGTCATTTTAGTTGTCATGTGTGCATTTTTTTGGATTTTTGCCATTAATGAACAAAGGACAAATACCTATTTCATATTTGAAAGATATTCAAATTACAATTAACTCACCTTGTTCTGCACAAATTTACCAAGCAAACTACCTTCCACACAAAACCCTGAAAAATTTGACAAAGAAATATATATATACAAAAAAGATGAATCAATAAAAGCACCAATAATGAAACAAGGAACTACCAAAGGCAAGAACCAATGAGTTCAATTGAGGGGTAACTATTTGAAAAAAAATTACTTGTGGAGCCTTTTTTGATGAGAGAGTTTAGATGTTCATTGGGCAAGATAGTTATGTTTACAATTAGTCAAGCCTTCCATTCTAATGAGGATATTGTCTATATTGTTATGGAGAGTTTCCTTGTAGTTAAATAGAAAGCATTTAAACAATGTTGAAATTTGATCATTTACATAAATAATTATTTTGAGAAATTTCTTCTTTTTCTCAATTTTATAGTGACATGTTCCTGAAATATTTCAGCCTGCAATCTGAAAGTTGGCTATTTCTATGTATTCTGCTATTTTCAATTAAATACCTTACAGTAGATCCCTTGTGCTTGTTACGGTTTCGCTTACTGGCTTAATATAAATTCTATACACAAACAAAAGTGAGGGTAAGGAACTTTAGATTATCAATTTTAGGATGGTATGATATCAAAATCGAGCTCCTAATAATCACGAATTACTATCTTGGCAGCTTTTTATGTTATTACAACATGAATAAGGTTTGACTAGGGAGAAGGCCTGAAACACTAGCTACAAAACAATATCAGTTTTAGCCGTAAAGTTTGCATATTAGGCCCATTTTCTCAACGGGTCATGCCCCTGCACTCAGTACTACCCATCGATTTTGTCGGATAGCTGGCCAAATGATTGTTCATTTGACTTAGGATATGAAAAACTCATCATTTTAAAAATGCGTATCTTAAAAGAAGGAATACCTATTGACAACAATACGATGCAGATAAGTGGAATTTCCATCTTCTTCTCTGTGAACGCCATTACAAACGTTCCAAACGTTCTTAATTCCCTTGACCGAATTGGACCTTCGTTGCGCTTGCGCAAGCGCTAAGTGCTCCTTCACAGCGCATGACTCTGCAATTCTACAGTACAAACTCCAAGTAGAGAGAATATTTAGAAATTCCATTATGGAAATTTTGACCTCACTGACGTATTATGCATATGCTAAAACTAGATTAAAAAATTTCTATTAAAAAAGGAATTAAAATAAACAAATATAGAAGTGCTAAAATTCTAAAGAAGTCTTTGTTATATTTGTTTTTGAATGCCATTAAATTGGCATAGGATGTAGCATAGATGGATACAGAATCAAATATATTTTGATCCTGAATCTTAGCTTATATTTATTAAAAGTGTTTCCAAAAAAGAGAAAAATTTCATTTATAATTTCTCAAATATATCTTTTAATTTTTTTACTATTTAGCGCAGGTTCTCGGATATATCTTTGCCCACTTCTTTGCAGCCCTGGGTATGGCAAAAAGTCAGTCAATACACAACAAGCCAAATGTTTCTTGCTGAATAGGTAACCTGCAGTAAACCACCAAATGACTCTGGAATATCTATCACATTCATCCCATCCCACCCCTCCCCACCCAGCCCCCCATCATCAAAGTCTTGTGTTTTCAAAAAAATTTCCCTGAATTTTTCTTCTTATTTGAATAAATCAAGCTATCAAATGTTTTTCTGTTTTTACATTAGTTGCACATGGCTTGTTAGATTGTTGGGGGTTGTAAAATTCTTTTTGAAACTTTACCAGTCATTACAAATAGAAAAATTGTCTTCAAAGGGCATTTACTTTACCAAATCATTTCACCATTGAGAGACAGTTTTGCCAAGAAAAACATGGGTAGCCGGTGCTGATGCATCATGGGAAAACATGATTTATCAATTAATGAGCATAGAGTTGTTTGATGCTTTAATTTTTATCTTGTGCAAAAATTCACATCAATGAAAATTTACTGAATCAGAAACTTCATCTGCTAATCATGGTATTTCTCATAGTCAGGAGTTGCAGGTATTGCTGGGCATGGTCAGACCATGGCAAACTACTGTTTGTCAATGTTTAATGGTGGTGGATTTGCAAATAACAATTTCTTTCATAACGATTAATTAGAGAGAATAAAACAAAAATAGTTTCATAACCTTGTTTCAAAACACAAATATTTTTCTTAATTATTAAATATGTAAAGAAATCAAATTATCAAATACTGTATGACAAAATCCCTTTCTATGTGGTGTGTGAAAATGTTCAAGCATGACTAAAGTATTATTTACTGACAACAACATAATCTAGTTCTCTAAAATGAGGTTATATCACTTGGGCTTTGGATTAATAAACTCCGTCCATAAAAGTATCATTAACAACTTAAAAAAGATTTATCTCTATATCACATTGATGTCATACTTCCATCTAGTAAATTTAGAGGTATAGGAATTATCTTTAACAAGTCATTAGCATATCAACATGTTAAAAACCTCCAATAACAAATCATCTTAATGCAGATTTCTCCCTGAAGCCTTTTCCAGAAACTACTGAAGTGATATTCAATGGGTCCCATTTGAACATTCATGTTTACCAAATACCAGCTTTAGATACTTTTGGTTGCAGATAAAAGCTCGACTATTGAGATCACAACACAAATTAATGTGAGAACTAAGAGAATTATGGCAAAGTTTTTTGGCACAGCTGACACTGCGTTGACGAATCTACTTGTGTAAAGGATCAGCCTTGCTCTTGTAATCTTGAGCTCTTCAAACTTCCTTAGCAATGCTTTCTTATCTCTGATACCAAGAAGGGGAGAATTGGGAATACCTTCTTTTGTTATGTCATAATACCTCATATTGCTTCTGATGTCAAAGAATCTGTCACCAGCGCTCCCAGTGCCAATTGGCCCAGTTGGAATAGGAATGAGACAAGAGTCAACCTCCATAGTAAACCAGCTGTCCTTCCATATTCTAACGTTTCTGATAATGGCATAAATAGAATAGGCGTGCCACGAAGACAGCAAAATCAAAATCACCAGACAGCATGCAACTACGGACACTTTTTGGACTTCGTTCAAAGATTCGTTTGGAATCAAAATTGCCAAGGTCATTAGTGGCAAGATAAAAACCATCATAAAGAAAAAAGTTGACAAACAGTCCCCCTTCTTTGACGACTCGCCACCAAAGCACAAAAGTCTTCTCAAATGGGGTGCAGCTTTGTCATTCAACTTTCTTACTCGTTTGTAGCACCTTTGCATAAAGTCATTTCGATTATACAGGCCATAAGTCGGGACCTCATTCAAGGTCAAAAAATTTCCACGTTGTTGACTTGTCAAAAGGCCAACATTTTCTTGTGACTCGTTCACAGATATCGAATATTGCGTGGAGAGATACATTCTTCGTCCGCTTTTCCACCAAACTCTAACAAGCTCCTTTAGAAAACTGATTTCAAAATCTTCGTCGCGTTTTACTCGCCAAAAAGCGCCTGAAATACAAGAACAACAAGCAGGAAATATAAGTGAGTGTTCGAGACGTGCTAGTTGAGTGTGCTCTGAGCTAGACCAAGACCAAGTTGGTCGTCTCTTATCCTATGAACCAATCAGCTTTCACCACCAGGTCTGACTGGTCTGGATAAACAATACAGACGTTTAAACCCGTTTAGTCTATCAGAAAACAGGTTTGACGAGCTGTTGTCACTTTGCTGAAGAGCAGCGGCGGAGGCGAGTCCAGAACCACAATGCAACGCGAACGTCTGATCGTTCACAGGGAGACGACGTCAAGTGTTACGTTTGCGGCTGTGCAGGGGTTTAGCAGGAGGAAAGCGGAGAAGCATCACACATACGAAAATAAAATGTTTTATAATGGAAAATTTTGTATTTGATTCCAAGTTATGTGCTGATCAAATGTATCTTAATTAAGCCAAGTCATCTCTTTCACTTTTGGAACGTTTGTAAAATTAATTGAATCGACTCGGAATTAAAAATGGCACAAAATTCGTCTGATTCGACCATGTCAGATGAAGCTGCCCCGATCCCAAACCTAGCTTTACGAGCCATCATTCGTCCAGCTTTGAAACAGGTAACATGATGTCATCATTATTCTTTTAATACAAGCTGAGTTCAATTTATTCGCAAATAAATTAAAGCTGAATAAAGTTCCCTTTTATTTTTATTGAGGAAATTATGTGGTCTGAAAACAAATTGTGTAGTTAACTTCCTGTAAAGTAAATGTTGACAGACAAATATGAAATAAATCTACTTCATTTTACACCAATGAATTTTAATTTTGGCAATATTTTAGAAGCTTTTCTGTGAAACCAGGGCTTAAAATCTAATCTTGAGTAATTGTATTATGAATTAATCACAAACAATGTTATTGTTGACTTGTTCTTATTCCAGGTCAGAACTGTAGACAAAGCCTCAGCAGATCACCTCATCTCCGCATTTGAAGCAGTTAGTAATTGAATAATTAAACTAATTACTGGCTTTCTGTGTTAGATGTTATTTCCATAATGAACTGCATGGTACTTGCACACCTTTTTAATTGCAACAAAAGCACAAACTTAAAATCATTGAGGGACTCTGACAACCCAGGCCCCTCCTTCTCTTCTTTTTCTGTCATTGGATGGTTTTGAAAGCTTTCTTACATCTCTGCAACGTTCGCTTAGTTGAATTTCAATAACAACATTAAGTATCATAGTTCAAAACACAGAACTGAATAAATATTTATTGATGTGGCCACAAACCATGATGCCGTTTTTCACCCTGTGTGACATTGACTCCTCCATTAGCAAGAACTCTGCAGTAGCATCCTAAAACAGCAACATCTTTATTGCTCCAATTAAACTTTAAATGATCTGAGGATTTTATCAATTAAAACTTAGATTTATGAGGGAAGAACCAAGGGGAAATCTGTGAAGCTATATCCGAAATACCTGGCAGGGACTTCATAATTTTGTTGGGGGTACTGACGAAAAAAGAGGGGAAGGCTTATTAGTAATTTCTTTAATGCACTGTAATCATAAACTTTTAGAGTATTGATGTAAGCTATTAAACATTCAGTGCAGCTTCATAAATTACTGGCCAATATCAGGTGTGAGGTTTACATGGACTCAAACCAGGAGTAAAAATGCTGCTTATGTTACCACCTTTTAAATTTGTTCTATAGCTTGTTCATAGTTTGTTCTGGGTATTTAGGAACTTCATTCAAATTTACTTCTCCCCTATATACTTTTGATTTATGATTTTTGATAACTTTCAAGCAGCTTTTAAAGTTGATATTTGATGTTATGAACAAGCAGATTAAGGCTCCAAGTTCGAATGGAATCACTTTCCTGCTCTGTCAGGGCAATGAAGTTGAAATAATAACTTAACCTAATTATTAGTTTCTCATGCTTGAGTCATATTTGAAACTAAATTCATTGATTAATATGCATTGAATGTGATTTCCTCTTTTGCTTCAGGCGGAAGATGCTATTCCTGGAATAACTCAAGAAATCCTTGAAGGAATTTTGAGATCAGGTAAATCTAAATGTCCAAAACCTATTATGTTTGTTTTAAAGCCACATTGTCCTGTCATTTCAGCATTCACAAAAAATAAAAACCTCTATAGTACATTTATAATTGAGGAATCATTAAAAATGAGACCCATATTGTCAACTGGAAAATGTGACAATAATCATAACCAATGGAAATTTAGGTGAACAATAAAACTCATCAGAACATAGTGCTTTTAAGTTGCTGGAGTAAATTTTAGTTATGCTTTGGTATCAGCATGTTTTTAGAGTCTAAAAGTTTTGGCAACTTGATGAAGTATTATATCTTATTCTAGAGGGATTCACAATGAATATAAGTGAGATCTTGCTCAGATGCTCATCCGTGAACTCCAAAGGTATTTTCTTCTTAACTTTATTATAAATATATTATCATTGAAAATCAACCAAGCCATAAATCCTGTGCTTATTAAAAATCAATTGCCATAGTTCATTTTTTCATTAATCTATATATTTTTGTTTTTAACAGATTTTCAAATAGAAAGGGAAGAGCTTGAGTTTGTAAAATTGGGAGAAAAGGCCCAAGGTATATACTTTTATGATCACTTAAATAAACACCTTTTATGACCTAAAATTAAAACTCTAAAATATTGTCTGAACATTGACATAAATCAGTTTATATGGCACATGTTTATTGCAATTAGCAATCTTGTTATATAGAGTGTATTTATCTATCAAATTTAATCTCATGTGAGCTTTTTATTACATAGACCCTGCAACTCGTATATAGTGTAAAAAGCAAACTGATCTTCAATTTTCAAAACATTTGTTCTCCTTTATTAGTTAGTAGAAAATTGATGTGAACTGGAAATCCCCTGCAACTCGTATATAATGTAAAAATAAATTTCATTCATCACCTAGAATTGAAAACAATCTTAGGGAAAATCCCTCTTGAAATACAAGATCGCTCAAAGTTTCTTCAGACAATCAAGTGAGTTCTCAACTTTATTTTTATTGTTGTTGCGTCTTGATATCAATGTTAGTGATATATTTCTTCACAATTTTATACTTTAGTGATATACTTTAGATGAATTTTATCTGGCTACATCTTTAACACTCTCTTTTGTTTAGGGACATTGCAAGTGCAATTAAATTTTTATTGGATTCCGTAAATGAGGTTTTAAAAACTTATCAAGCTCAGGGTAAGATGAGAGAATACAGAAAGGTAAGAAATTAGTTACTAGAATGCTTCTTTACCTTTAACTTTGATATAAAAATCATATATTTTTGCATGCTATAGACTGTAAAATATTGATAAATTATGAAACACCATAGACATTAAATTTCTATGTTTTGTGTTGTTAATGAAAAATGACTGAAAGCCCTTTTCAAACGTCAGGAAACCATTCACATTTCATGTTAAAATATGCAGTGAAACAGAGTGTGTATCAGTTCATATCTCCAGAATGCTAGTGTTTATTAGAAACATTTGTCTTTGGTTATATTATTAAAAATGTTACACAGTAATACCTAGCATTGTTTTTCCTATCCGTACAGACTTTGGAACAAAACAAAAGAGAATTTGTGAAATATTCAAAAAGTTTCAGTGACACTCTAAAACAGTATTTCAAAGATGGAAGGTATGTAAAAGTAACTACATACAATTTTGCTGCATTTCATCCCCACTAAAATCCCTTGATGATGATCTTCATGTAAAATGAAGGAGTGCCCAAAGCAGTCAAAGGAGACAAAGTGTGACTAACTAGCTAACTAACTAACTAGCTAACTAACTAACCAATAAGCTAGCTAACTAACTAACTAGCTAACTAACTAACTAACTAACTAACTAACTAACTAACTAACTAACTAACTAACTAACTAACTAACAAAATTAACTAACAAAATGACACAATATCTTTAACATAATACTTGACCAAAACTTCCACTATCCTGAGATTAGCACCCACTTTCTATTACCTGCAGCCAACAAATTGTTGCCTCAACCTCATTAGCAATTAACAGTTTTGAGATTTTTATACTGATTCATTTTGAAGGGCAATTAAAATTCATCATAAATATTATGATTGATTTGATGATTTATCACATTGCAGGCAGGACAGTGTTTTTGTCAGTGCCAACAAGCTAATCAACCAAACAAACAATATTTTGATTGTCTTCAAGATGGTGGGACGTGCTGTATAATTATTGCACTTGTATGTAAATAAACAATTTAGTGTATATATGTCAACATATCCCTACTTTGATATGAATGGCTAATTTCTAAAAATATTTCTCCCATCTTGCAAATTAGCAAACATCTATCATTGCCAGTATTCTATGTGTTTTTCCATTGACCATGAACCTGTGGAAACTAAATTGTATCAGGTTTTACATACACTATGATCTTAAATTACTGGCATTGAAATGATAATGATTAAAAGTAATTCAGTATTTTCTTTTATATGATATTCCAGGTGAAATCATTTCACCACCCTGAACTAGCATAAAACATTACCATACTAGAGTTATTTTAGTCTAAAGATTGTTAAGACGAGGTTGAAAAACCATAAACTAATATTCATCTCAATTTTATAAGCTGAAAAACCTTCTAAGACAGCATTGTTTTAAGGCCCTTAGTGAACCTCTGCTGTTTAGTTTCTTGTTTCTGATAAGTACAAGAATGTTTATATTATAGGCTGTTTATATTCAATATTTTTCAGTCATATTGCAAAACATGATGTAATTCTTGAATTAGTATTTTTTGTCTACAATTTCTGAAGTTATTTAACCATTTTAGCATCAAGATCAGACAGTATGATTCTCTTTGCTAGAGCTTTGCCTATGCAGTATCAAACACTTTATGACAGACCAGAAAACAGTAGCTTTCATAAGAAGCTTGATATACAGTTAATGCCAAGCACTTATAAAAATTGGGAACCCTACCCTAAGAAGGGATGCAAATGTTAATTTTCCATTGAATTGCAAGAATCTGCGCAGACTCTTGGCATATTTTATGATCCTCAAAAGTTCCTTCATATCATTCCATAATTAGCATGTTGAATTTGATTGTTTCTTCTGTGAGAACAGATTATAAAATATATCCTTTAATGCCAAAGGATGCAGCAGCAGCAATATGTATTGTTTCTGAGAGCCATAAAAGCATGAACATCAATATTAAACTGATCACTTAATCTCACAACAAAATTTGATTGTGTTTGAGCACCCGCAGCCACACACATCAAACCGAAAAGGACTTAGGGGCCATTTTATACATAGTGCTGTGCCAAGCTGAATCTGAGGACATGTAGTTTAGCATTGGTATGACAAGTAGTGGTACAACTTGGTTTTATAATGCTGTGCTGAAGTCGTGCTGTTACATGTCGTATCTTCACCAGATTGTGTGCAACATATCAACCACACAAATTATATGCATAATGTTCATCTTGTGTACTCTTAAATCCTTCTTTAAATCTTTCAACAGAGTTATTTGTCCATAAATTTTCAAACCAGCTTGAGTTTCGGAGCAAACAGTGATAGGACCTTAGATTTTCCTTGTTTGTCCAGTGGACTGCAAAATTGCTATTGTAAAACGTAGTTCAGATTTTCTGCTACATTATATTGTGACAGAATATTTAAATTTGCCATCATATTGATTTCTCTTCTTCTTCGGGCCAATTTTTTGTCAAGAAAAGCTCTCATAGTAAAACGGTAGTGTTCATCGACCGCCATTTGTTGTGTTGATGTTATGATGCAGATGTGCTTGTAAGGGTCAGCATGGAAAGACATGACTTTGGTCTTATAAGTTGAACCTGGCCGTGCTGGGGCCAACCGGGCGAGGAGCTCTAGGCTAACGGTTTGACTCAGCCATACAATGTCAAACCAAGTGGGAAATTAGTTTATTAAGGTCAAGCTGTGCCGAACCAACCAGAATTAAATTCATGGCAATCTCAACACATAAACCACCCTTCAAAAGCGTTTCCTGTAGTCGATTTGAACAAGTGAGAGTACAAACAATATATCAATATATATACATATGAAATAATGGGATACATTCTCTTTCTTGGATGGAACCTTGAGATGAAGAACACTGTACATAGCATATTTTATAAATGTACAAACGAAAGCATTACATATGACCAACAATATTTTAGTCTGCTTTACAGACCCATCTTCTTCAAGGGAAGAAAGCAAAATAAAGCTTAGGAATGTAACCCCTCAAATGTTAGCATTCCACTTCTGTTATTCAGAGTCAAATTCTGGCACAAATTCATTGTCACTATTTCTTTTACTGGTACTTTTCAAAGCATTGACTTTTCTAGAACGTTTTTTTAAAGACACTTGCCTATCTGATGTACCCCTTTCATCAGAACTTTCACCATGCGAATCTGAACTGCTGTTGGACCTCTCCCTCTCACTTCTAATATAAGTCCTTTTACGTTTCCTGTCTGGCGATCGTGATCTTGGTCGTCTACTGTCCTTCGACCTTGCGCTAGAATGATAATTCCTTTTGGTAGACGAACGTCCATGTGAATGGCTTGATGAAGGGGTATTTTCTTTTGAACGAGATCTCGCTCGTCTCCGTTCACGTGATCGAGATCTGGACCGTTTTCTTCTTCGCCAATAGTCTCTACTACTTGATTCACGGGAATATCTGCTTCTTTCGGAACTGTAGCTTTCAGCACGATCCCAACGTCTGAAAAAATTAAGAAAGTAAGGTATTAATTTAGTAATACATTGCCTTCAAATTTTAATTAAGTATATAACAACATTATCTCACTAAAATAAGCCATGTTCTAGCCAAGAATCGATGTATTACAATTATAGTAAACAGGTAGAGCACAAGAAAACCAATGCCTGCTCTAGTTTGCTTTTTGTACCTTTCCAGTTCCCTTGTGCTACTTCTCCATTCTCTTTCACTATTTTTTCTACTTTGAGCAGGACTGTCCCACATATCTCGATCTGCATCTTTAAACTCGTTGTTTGGATTTCGGAAGACATGCAAAAAGTTGCAGTTTTTGCCACGAGGACATCTATTTCTTGCAAATGTACCTAAAACAGAACAGCTTGTTAAAAGCCTTAGGCTTAAAACTAAAAAATAATGACTAATCAGTGTGTTGTAATCTTTGCCTTTTGTAAAAATGGTTATAATTGAAGCACCCTAGGAAAGTATAAACAATTGACAGAGCAGGGGCACTGGAGCAATGTAAGGTTGGACGAAGATTGTGAACTCTGTAACGATAAGTCTGATTCGTTGGATAGTAAATGTAGATCAAGCAACCATTAGGGAAACCCAAGAAATTTCATATCCCCCAAAAAATTTCAGTCCTCCTTTATTCGTTAAAAATTTCTAAACTCTCAACTGTAAAAGTTCTTAAGGTATAAGAAATTCACATTGTTGTGTTCTGATGAGAGGCAATAAAGGCAAAAGATTTAACGTTGCTTTTGACTTATTTTCCAACAATCGTATCGCAATATAATTTTGTAACTGACCACAAATTGCTGATTTCCACTTGTTAACAGGTGAAAACTGGAGTGATAGCTGCTTCCCTGCATACCATCTACCATTGAATTTTGCATATGCATTTAGTGCATCGTTTTCACTGAAAAAAATTGGAATTGCAAATAACACAGTCCATCCAACACAAACAATTTGAACCGAATATAAATATCAATTAAGCAAAGCAAGATCTACAAATAGAAAATTATCGTTATTCTATATAACATTTCATGTTTTAATTATTCTTATTATCTACATAAAATTTCATATTTTTAAAGTCAAGAAAACAATCGTTCCTCTGGAAAAAGAGCCAATGTTTCTTAAAATTGTAACAAATTGGGCGTGACATAAGTGTGGCAACTGAAAATTCTCTAATTCAATTTCCTTTCGATGTGTTAGAGACCTCGCCCCAGGTCCCTAGTAAGAAAAGCACACGTATCGTCGGAGATTAAGAGTTGGTAGGAGTGGGGGTGAAGGAAGAGGGTGTAGGTTTGGAGTTGAGTACAGAAGTATCATGTAATCAGCTTGTATCTTATAAATCATCAAATCGAATCGAAAGCTGAAGAATTTTCTGTTGAAATTCTAACACGTTGAACGCAAGATCCACAACACAATAGATGATTAGTCGTGCAACCGCCTTTTTTCATACTTATCGATTTCTGATGTAGAACAAAACTTTGAAACATTGAAACAGACTTGCTTTATAATCTTTAATAAATATAAAATTTTCAAATTGTAAAGTACCTTTTATACTGAATATAAACATTGCCACGTAAATGCGGCTCGAAATTGCAGCAGACCTGTAAAGACGAACAATGAGCAGAAATAAGAATTGCTTACAGACGAAGTTTAAAGAAACAAAACAACATGAGATGTGAGTCGCTAGTGTAAACTAAAAAACATGGCTTTATGAGTGAGAATTAAAAAAAAACACTTGTAAAGAAATGCTTTTCAAAATATCGATATAATGATTACAGAAATGTTGAAATATTGCCAACAGCAAAAAACCTAAATCAACACAAAATAATAACTGTTAGTGTGGTTAAAACTGGATTCCTAGCAGAAGAAATGCATTCGGACTCTGCTAAAGAAAATTTTTAAAATAACCTGTTGGGCTTTTTGAATATCAATGACATATTAAAAAATCATTTGGATAAAGTAAATTAAGATTACAACTAAGATTACCTTAAACTGCTGCACCTGTCCGACACTTCTGAATTCTTCAAGAACGTCTTTATAGAAATCTTTAAAATTGCTATAAAGCTCGTCTTCGTCAAACTGTAACAAAGATAAAATGTCTTCAAAATGGCATACATGTGCAGGTGTTGTGTAAAACCAATTTGGTATAAACAGGTATGCCACGATGAATGAAATGTAAAAGAATAAGCAAAGATTATTTATATTGCACTTTTGTTCACTTTTTATAGCTTTCTAGAAAAAGTCTTAATGAAACAATTAAACTGTCAAGCCAATGTGAGTATTCATCCTAAAGCACAAATTTAACAAGATCATCCACAAAATTACTCGTCGCAACAAGGCCCTAGTTCCCAAAAAAAGAATACAATTTTGCCAGATTACAGGAAAAAATCCATCACGTCTGCATTGCATGATAATTCTCTTTCTACGATAGACGATTCTCTTTCTTCACGAATGGCAATGTTGCAGAATGTTCAAAAAGTCACAAAGTAGGAAAAAGTATCTTGCCCCAGCGGCATAAATTCCAATATTCTGGGGCAAAATAATGGTACAAAAGAAATACAGGCAAAAAATGAAACAAAGCACCTCGAGCTCGACATCATTATCCTTCTCATCCAACATCACCTCCATGAGACGAACATCTTGGAACATGTTTGGAATTAACAAAGTTTGGCTGACGGGTGGTCTCGGGTGCTGTCTGGAGCATCTAAAACGAATTATTCAGAGTCCAGAGAAATGTTTTCTAATTCCAAACCTGTCCTTTTTAAGCTCATAAAAATTTCCCTTAGAGCACAATGAAACCAAGGCAAGGTTTGTGTGCGGCAATTACTTTCTTTTGTTTTTGTTGGCCTTCTTGAAGGTCGCTTATCGTATTACCATCATGTTTTTGGGCAATTACTTGTGGTAACTACATAAAAAGCATTTCAATTCTGCAATAATCGAAGTCATTGATCAAAAGGGCGTGGTTTCTGGCGAAGAATCCTGCTAACCTTACTTCTCAAAAGCACAATAATTTTGCCTCCAGAATTATCCTACTTCGAGCCTCGAGACATAAAAGATGAAGCTGTTAATAATTTGCACAGTTTGTAGCAAAAATTTATTATTGACACTAGAATGGGATTGTATAAAATAGAGTTTAAAAGAAAAGTAGAGTTTTGAATGGCCTTCCTTGAGAGAATTCCTTTAGTTCTTAAAATGTCCGAAGCAAGTTTTATTCTTGGCATTCATGTTTCTCTAACCATCTCTAACGAAACTTCGACGAAAATCTGAAACAGTGATCAACACTGTTTGCCCATCCAGTAGCGGCGCCATGGGGGAGGGGGACACGTCTAGTAAGATAATAAAATATCCCAGTTTACTTGACAATGATTCTATAAAATAAAACCCTCCTTTCTCAAAATAACCGTAGAGGGCTATAATTACCTCTCTCCAAAGCGACATGCACCAGTTTTCAAGTAAAAAGAGCAATTATTTGGATCCTGTTAACACAAGAAAACAGCTGCAATAATCAAATTATAATTAAATTATAATACAGTTACAATTTCAAATCTGTTCAAAGTAATTCGAATTTATACATCAGAGCTTGGTATCTGGGTTACGTCAATTTTTTGTTGAATCATCTTTTAAAAACTAATAGTAACATCCTGTCGCCTCCCGATTATTTCACAAAATTTCTGGCAATATTTGGTTGCAAAACACATCTGGAAGATTTATGAGTTTATAATTGGCTCCTTTGGACAAAATCCTTTTGAAATGAAGGAGAAAAATAAATACCCTTTCCGTGCCATACAGATTGGTACTGTTGCCACCTTTGGTGGCAATAGGATTGTGCCAAGGCTGTTCGTCGTCCTGTATACCAAACCAAGATAAAAATTAGACCAGAGTTACTTCTGCGGTCAAGTAAAAATGCAAATATTGAAGCAGACGAGAATAATGAAAAGAAAAATGGAATATCCGAAACTGAACCTGAGAATTACACTTTATCAATGTTGAAGGCTAAGAACAAATTTCACTTGAAAAGGACAAAAAAAACATTGGCAAACGTTTAATTCGTTTATTTCACAATGCGATATCTAATTGCATATATCTAAATTACCGGATTAGAGGATCTAAGTATGCCTGACTTTTCCAGTTCTTGATTCAGATTTTCCTAAAAAGAAAATTGAAACAGATATAATTAAAAGGCTTAATATGTGGTAGTAGCAAGCAAAGTGGATATTCCAACCCTTCAGATCCCCATGGCAAATACACATACAAAATCAAGAATACAAAATCAAGGCTGACGAAGAAAAATAAGCATAGATTGATATGCATACTCTTCTAGCTTTTTGGAAAAAGTCATCAAAAGTGATTACGACGTAATTACTAAATAAAATGCAAAAATGAAGTTTGAAGAAACATTCGACACTAGCCAAAAGCCTCTCATTCGCAAACTGTCAATCATCCATAAGGCTTTAGACTGAAGCAAAACGACTTGATAAATGTTAAAGGCTTATCATTTCAGTTGTCCCTGCAACTTCACTTTCTGACTTTCATTCATTTCCCTTCATTCTTAGCACTGCTTAATTCTATTTCCCCTGTGCAGTATTCCCTTCTTGCTACTATTCGCAAAATTTCAAGTTAAGCCACAACAAAGAAAATTGATATTTTAACGTCAATGCTTTCATCCCTTGCTTTGATAAGGGCCTATAGACAATAGGCCTATCTTCCTTGCTTTCCCTGGCATTCTCTATCAATATATACATTAAGGGTGAAAGGCAATCTACAAACTCAGTAAAAAATTGAAAATGCTCTAAAAGGTTTTGGATACAAGCAAGATGAATCCAAGTGTATGTATTTCACACTTTTTAACATCACACAATATTTACTTCTTTCGGGAAGCAAAGAAACATTTTACCTTTTACCAAACTACTTACCGAATATAAATGAAAAATTGAAAAGTTGCAGACTGCATAAATATTTGAATCTGAAGAAATATCTGAATTTCTGTCCGCATCTTTGTCAAGGGAAATTTATTTGTAGATCGACAAGTGATCTGATTTTCAGTTTTACAGTGCAGTATTTATAATCTATCATATTTAACAGTTATCAAATCTCAAGTCCTTTTGAAAAGAAATAAGCTTATTGAAAAAAGTTGGCAATATTCTAAGACAGAAAAGGAAGCAAACATGCTTCAAAAACTAGCAAAGTTTAGGAAATGATAGATATTAATCTATTTGTCAAGACAGAACAAAATATCTCTTATTGTTCAAGTTTATAAAAACACTTTTATAAAAAAATTCAAATTGGTTTCCTTTCTTATTTCAAGTATTAAAAAGCATTCAAGTATATCTGTTACTAAAAATTATCTTCATAGAAATTTGACGAAATACCATACTTAAAATGAGAAGTAGAATCAATTTCTGAAGATATCCTTTGTTGGGAAGTAAATACATTATTCATATAATGTTGGATAAAATAGCACGAAGGGGAGCATACATTAAAATTCATTACAACACATTACGGGTAAATTGTTAAATTCATTAAAAGATACAAAATCACACATCCATCCGACACATTTTCCCGTCACGCCGACATCTGTCTCGAAAATGCTGAAGTCAGCTTCAAATGTACAGGCTGATTCTCGGTAATCGCGTATCTGAACGTTAAGGCTTACCAAATTTGCAAGTTTGTTCATAACGAAACAAAAGTGAGCTCTATAGTTTTGCAATGAAGCTACCTTTGATCGCTTCAAGATTGTTTCCAAGCATCTTTCCGGCAGATAATCTGGTCTCAATTTTATTTCTCTCTCAATTCTGCGAGCTTCGAGCGGTAGGCTCGAACGGGTATACGGCTGCCCGCTGTAGCAAGGGGCAACCGTTTTATTCACTATGTCACAGTAGCGACAAAAAATGAATCTAGATTGCACTGCAAACTGATAATCACCTATTGAACACGGTCACCATTAACAACAACACATAAATAGCAGATATATAGCAGTCGCTAAAAGTTCAATACTTGGATTGGCCTAATAACCAATTTTGCTTAAGACCCTTTGCTTTCAAAAGTAGAAATATAAAGAAACATATCAACCCTTTGCGCGTGGGCAACATCCAATGAGGCCAACAATTATTACTCGGAAAATTGAATGGGGGGGGGGGGTTGAGAAAGAAAGTTTACGAATCTATGGCTTAAAGACGGAGTCAGTTAAAAATGAAGATGTGAAATTTAAACGACTTTTCTTGCAATACAAAGGTTTTTGTTAACATGACTAACAAAAAGATACGATTCGCCGTCAAGCAAATGAGCACGAAAGAAATCACCTCTCTTTCCTTGACAGCCTTTTCCTTTAGAACCTTTCCTCTCTGCTCCCGTTTCTGTTGTGCTTCCCATTCCTCTTTTATTCTCCTCTAAGATGCAAATTCAACAGTAGACGGTCAATAAATGCAGGCAATCAGGCATTGTAGTTTCATAGTATATTTCTTCATAAAATCTAGGCTAGGACCAACAGTAACGTAAATCTGCAAACATGGAATCCCGCAAAAAAGAATCAATGAATAACTTTGCATTTAAGATCCATATTTGGGCTAAGAAATAGGTCAGGTTTAAATTTCAAAGAGCATTGTCCCTGGACCATCTGTTGTCACCAAGAGACATCCCTACTACTAGGAATCACCAACAAGGTATCATCGAAATACACTTTTAGACAAGAACCCAATGACAGAGCCTTTATTTCCTAAAATATAACACTGGAAATCAGCCATTTTTTCTTTTTTTAAAAAAGGCGATCGGTATTTGAAAGAAACAATCTACCAGCAAAATTACGCATTTGCCAGGGTTTTGATCATTTATCATTTGAGGGATAATAAAAGGGCGGTGTCTTGAATTACAAATAAAAATTTCAGAACTCTGTCTCAATATTCTACGGGTGTTTGATGAAAGAAAAAATGTGTCACTCAGTTACGTTTTCGAGTCTCATCTTCACGATTTATAATCCATGAAACCCCCAACCACCCAGCCCCCCCCAACAACACCCAGCCACAAACATCCAGCCCCCAACCACCCAGCCCCCAACCATCCAGCCACCAACCACCCAGGCAATCTAATGCGAAAATACCAATGTCATAATTGAATAAAAATTCCAGCTTTTGCAAAAACGAAATTTAAGGATAGTTTCAGTTTTTAACGAAGACTTATAACTCCCGATAAATAAATAGGAACTCACACAGGCGTGCTAACACACGTACGCTTTGCTCATTTTCCGAAATCTATTTGTAAAACGCCTAACTTCTAAAAAATTGGAGTACCAATTACCTCTTGGTCAAGTCTCTCCTGCCGCCTTCGTTCTTCTTCTTTCTTTTTGTTTTCAAACTCCTCTTGGGCTGCTTTTTCTTTGGCTAACCACTCCTCGTGTAGTTTTTGCCTAAAAGTTAGGACATGAAAATTGCTGGTTACCAGTCTGTCATAAACTATTTGATGCTGTACACGCTTTTATTGTATATAACAGGACAGTTCTAATGCTGGAAAGATTCATCTGAATTAGAGTATTTTTTTAGGCTTACGTCTATTTTAGCCCAGCGTGTTGTGTCTGTGTTAAAGACCGTTAACCTTAGAGGCAAAATGATAACAAACCTTTCTTTAACATTGAGACATTTGGAGGCTTACTTTACACTATGCAAAACATTCAATTGAAATAAATGAAAAACGGTGAATACCTTCTAATTTCTTGAAGATTTTCCTTCCACTCATTTTGTTTTTCTTCGGCCTCGATGGCCTCTCTGAGAAAATAAACCAGTATAAGAGAAAGTACTAAATGTTGTAAATTTATCTTACAAATAGCTAACAGATTCATATAGTTACAGATATTTATCAATTTTTCTAGGGGAGAACCAAGGGCATATTACTCGACGAAATTCTCGTACGCCTTGACAGAAATGTTATTGTTCTTAAGAAAAATCACCCCAAAAATTTTGATGTTTTACAAAATTTTTGCAAGCTTCGAAAGAGTGAGGCACCCTTTAAGGAGAAAATGAGACGGCTAATTCAATTAAAAACTAAGACAGTAATCAAGAAGCAAGAAATGACCCCTGTTATGCGTGAAAAACTGATTCATCTACAAAGATTATACATGGGGCGAAGGTGAAGAATCCGGTTCGGATAATCCGATTAATCTCGTGTCATACACGTCGAGGAATTTTTTGACTGCATCAACGAATCACAGGTCGCCTAGGGTCATGGAACGCTCTCCTAGAAATATGACATCAACCAAAACATGGTGCTTCTCCGGATTGTTAATGTCCACCTATACATGGTAAAAACAAAGCACAGCTGGAGGTAAAAATGAAGCAAAACTGATTTCATGGCGCTTTTAACCTAACCTTAAATAACCATTAAACCCTCAAATGACCATCTACTCGATAATGTCAAATTGCATCTTTTCGATATAATGCTTTTTAATGTGAATAGAGGAAATGTAGAATATGCAATATGACGTGTTTTCAAAGTGGCATGACCTACTTTTGAACGTGTTGATGCTAGGTCATGTCACTGGTATCTTGAAAAACACTGTCTTTGTCCTATCGTTCCTTTTCAAAATTAAAAACAGGCTTGGAAAACCGCAGCTTAAACGTCAGAGCAGGCATATATTGCTTACAAACGTAAAGGCATTGCTTCCTTGATAATGATACAGAAAAACTACTATGGATCCCCTTCATTACCGAGTAAAAGAGCCATTTTCGTTCTATAGAGGGGACATCGTTTGAAGCAATTATTAAGATGGCTATTTTTCAAACATATTATTAAGAATGTGGCAATAAAAATTTAAAGCTTTGGACCCAATATTTACTAGTGCAATCAACCTCCTCTAACAGCATTTCTATATTTACAGTACCCTGCAACCCTGACAATGACGCCGAAGTTTCACCAAAATATCATACAAAATCATAACAGAGACAAAACAGTCATGGGTTACCTTGTTACCAATCCATTTCTTTGCCTTTCCTCTAAAAAGGGCAGAGAAATATCAAAACATGTCCTTGATTAACATTATAGTTACAAACATTACATTATCGCAATAATCATTGAACTTGAAAATAAAGAAATAAAACATCGCAGACACGACAGCCATAAGGTGCAGCCCAGATCTGAATTTGAGCATGAATTCTCGAGTTTCTAGGTTTAAGTCAAAATTTTCAAAAACCATCAGCCGAAGTTCAATAAGCTAAACTGTGTAATATGGAATATAAAAATAGGCTGAATATGATTTTTAAGGATACAGGAAAGGGCCATGTCAAACGCCCTTACATACACTGCCAATAAAATATTCTTGATCTGCACAGTTGTCTTGATTATCAAACAGAACCCTTCGAAAACCCCTGGTTGTCTGTGTGGCTTATCTACACACCGAAAACAGTAGGTTTCAGCCTAGCTAAAACTCATATGCGTAGCTGTTGCTCAACCTCGGGGAGGGGGGGGGGTTACTAGGTAGCTAAGCCTAGTTTTGGACGGAGACGTGTCATTTTTGTTTAAAATTTGGACCCATAATTTAACACATGTCTGAAAAAATGTGACCCATAATTCGACCCGTAACGAAATATTTTTCAAGACACAAATCTAGGAACAGAACAAATCTCAATATTAGATATATTTCATACTTTTATTTCTAACTGGACTTTCTTTTATAAACGCAAAATTTTCCTCCTATTAATTTTGCAATAATTATCCCAAAATTGTATCCATAACTCTGCGTGTTTCTTCAAATTGTACCTATAATTCCACACCTATTTCAAAAACTGCGACTAATAATTCCGCACTTTTCAGAAATAGGTACCCTTAAATAATGGTACGTCCCCGTACTTCAAATCTATTAAGACCCCCCTCCCCCTGAACCTATAGCACCACGTTCCATGTGATCAATAATCCTCACATAGTTTAACCAATCTTCAAATTTTGTAATAAAGTTATTGACGTTATGGTACCACCAGTCAACGTTTGGCTTGATTCCTTAGCAAGTCAACCGGCAAGATCAGTATTCAAACTTAGAAGCATGGCAGTCTTGCAGATTAACACGTGGCAGCCTGAAGCATTGGGCTAAGGAGGCCTTGCCCCCTCTCCCATATACACTCCCTCCAATAAAAAACCCCCGTCAAGTACTTAAAGTTATCCTTTGAAACATCTTGGTTGAAGATTTAAGCCGTTAAATAGCCCTAAAATTTAAACATTATATACCCCTTAGTACTCTGGTATATTTGGGACGGGGTACTTCTTTCGGATTAAAATTTGGGTAGGAAATATTTTCTCGGGTAAGTCGCTTTTCTCGGGTAAGCCACTTTTCGGTTTGATGAATTGGTGGAATATTTTTCGATCGATACAAGAGAATTTTGAAAAGACAGCAATCAATCAGTCTACATGCATCTTTAATAAGAAATCAAGCAAGGGCCTAACTAGACAAAGTTTCCCAATTTTATGGAGGTGTTTCTTAACTTGTGCGAAAAAGTAACTAACAATGGATAGTTTATTTGTCTCTATAATATGTGTCTTCAAGATGCATGGTTAGAGTGCACGTCGGTTTACAAAGAACTGAGGGGCTCGGTCGAGTCGAAACCATCTTCATTTTCGACACCCTTCTATCTTATAAAACGGCGTCTTTCTCACTGAAAGTTTGTATGGCAAGTTTTAAGCCGAACTCCCTTTTTCCGCATATTTTGAATTTCATTTATCACAAAGAACAGCATTGTGAATTTCACACCATTGTCTTCAACCTATTGTATATTCCGCGATTGATGTAAATTCGAACTGTTTTTTCCATACTAAATAGAAATCTATTAACTATACTTTATTTCTAAAGACACCCTTACGTCAATTCTCACAGAAAATTTCACTTTCGAGTCCTCGTATGATTGAGCTGTTTTAACAAGTATTCGAAGTGTGCCTGATTTCTAGAGGAGCGGAGACAAGAGGCTCAGGAGCGACAATGGTCACGGTTTCTAATGCGCAGAAACGCCGGAACACAGTTTGAAGGGGGGAAGGGGGGCTCTAAAGAAATTGGCAAACTTTTGTGGTAGTTTTCCTACAAAATATTTGATGCCACAAGCTGAATAGCAAAGTTCAGGGGAAAATGGGGCGCTATAGCCCTCCAAGCGCCCCCCCCCCCACCAACTGACTCCGGCGTGCCTGTTTTGATCATAGTTTCTAATTTCACTTGAATTAAAAGTGATATATGAAGAAAATTCACACAAAGGCACTGCTAAGGATATCAGCTACCTTTAGTTGTTTTTAGACAGAATATCAACCTTGAGGGCAATTCTGCCAGCCTGCACATAAAAAATCCTCTTTTTCATAAGAAGACCTCGTTGATTAGTATAAATTTCTTTATGAGCATTTAATTAATTACTACCAAAAGTATGAATTTGTTGTGGTAATTCAATAAAACGCCATACGCAGCCTCAGATGGCCAAAGTCATCAAATTGAGGGGTCCAATTTGAGAATTTACGGTAGCAGTGGGGGCTTATTCGAGGGGGGTCTTCCTCTCGAATTTTATCCGCCAAAAATTTATTTGACGTGATTTTTTGCTGTTAATGTATATCATCGAAACTGACTTATACGTTTGACACCAAAACAGCATTCACAGCAACTCTCTCAGGGAGAGTTCGCTATGGTGGTTCTTCATTCTGATTGGTTATTGTGCATCAAACAAACGATGCATAAATATGGTGGTCATGAAAACAGGTTCTGAGAACAATTAGGGACAGGCTGCCTTTTAGAGTATCTAAATTAACATTATACTAATTGTAAAATTTGGGGACCTATATCAAAATCTTTTAACAAAAACTTGTTTCTTACAGCGAGTTTCTTATTAAAAAATGAGTGTATTCACAATCTATTCCAGCTCTCTTTCTGATACTTCAGTGATATATTATCTCTTTGGTCATAGAGAAATCCCATCACAGCTAACAAAAGTGGAAACACCTCAGAGCTCAAAATCTAGATTTGGTGATTACTAGAGGAGATATTAAAAATTGTGCAATTCATTGTCCAATATATACAAAGGTTATATCTTACTGACTTGACTTCTCTATAGAGTCTTGTCAAACTTGGTGAACAACTGAATGGATGTATTTGAAAAGCAAGACAGGCTATGATTGAAACCTTGACAAGGAAGCATTCAGCCTTTGTCACTTTTGGAGCAAGCATGCAGCAAAGAGATTGACAAGAATTCACACAAATTGTTTTTATCTGCTTTTTGTTTCTTGTCTTTGTTTAGGAAAAACCGGGATATTCACATCTTTGCTTGCAGGCAAGGAGAAAAGAGAGAAAACCCAGAATTTTCAGCAAAACCAGAAAGTTGACAGGTCTGATATTGTATATTGTTCCCTTTTACAATTTTTACACCCTTATTCACCTCAATCATGCTTACCTGATTTCTCAAATCGCTTTCATCTTGATTCATCATATCATTAATTTATAGCAAGCCTTCACTTTAGAATTTTTTATTTATAGAGATGTGTAAATAAGTTGACTTTGTCTGTTGAGAATAGTAACAGATATTCATAAAAAGGCCAGTTGGGATAGCCTTTTGGATCTGTGCTCCCTTCTCGTTGAAAAGAACTTACTAGGTCAAAAAAGACATTAGTAATGCAGTGGCGTACTCAAGAGGGGAATAGGGGGGTCCGGACCCCCCCCCCACCTTTCTAAAATATGATCCTCAAGATTTGTCCAAAAACGATGTAAAATTCATTGGGGGGAGGGTGTAGTATACTGTATGCTTGTTTCAAAAACAACTGTAAAATACTTTGCTATTTCCCGTAGCTAACATGAGTCAAATAATGGGGAGAAATTTTGCAAAAAGGGCATTAGTAATGTTTAAAAAGGGCATTAGTAGCTTAGAAATGTTGCATTTGCGAGTGTTTGAAGGGCATGGTCAAAAAAATTCTGGGGGCTGCACCCCAGACCTCCCCCGCACTACTGCAGCCCTGGGTACGCCACTGTAGTAATGGATGTAAAAATAGCCAATCCATGATAAATAAGTTCCTAAAAGAGAAAGAAAGATAACACATGTATTGGTTACTACTACTGAAAAACAAAATGAAGGTGATGTGACATTCAGCCCTATATCTCCTGAGAGAAGGGAATATGTTATTTAAATCATTATTGCAACCCACCCTCTTCTAATTTGTCCAGTTCCTTTCTCTTAATTTGTCGAAGTTTCTTCCTTTTTTCTTTTTTCCATATTCGTCTCCATTTCTTGTGGCTAATAAAAAACAACACCATATCATATGATTCAGACAACTAAAAGATGAAAATACTCTTAATAGTTGAACAGTCTTTTCAGTAATGCTAAACAAAATATTGCATTAGTCTCAATGTGAATTTATAAACAAGCTTAATACTTTAGCACAAAAGAAAGATTTTGAATTCCTGTTTCTCTGTGGAGCAGGCACTCTTAGGTGATTTATCTGGCTTGGATGCCAAACCTAAACACAAATATCTACTTTGTGACACAAGTTTGACCAATAGAATATTATTTCACAACTCTTGGGGGGAAGCATACACAGTTAGCCGTATATTCAATTCTATTCTGGTCTTGTTCCCCTTTAGTTAAAACTGTAAATATTATTTTTGCCAAATTCGAAACCCAATTAAGAACCCGGCAAACTCATTTTATCTCATAGTGTCCCTTGGAGTGATCTGGTTTGACAGAACAAATTTTAACTCTATCACAAAACATGATTGACAAAAAATGGTTATTGATCAATCATGAAATTTTTAAGGGTAATTTTTCTAAATTTGAGCAAATAGTTAAGGTGAATTTGAGCAAATAACAACTTAGCATTGCAAATTTTAGATACAGAATATAACAGACTTTCAGACCAAAAAAACCAACAAAACTTATACAATTATGTTATATTTTCCTTTCTTTGTTTACCTAAAATGCATGAAAAAGTAAAGTTGCAATTTTGCTAAAATTTGTACAAAACAAATCATATGCAATATGAAAGTACAGCATTAACTTAATTATACTTCAATGGTAGCCGCATCTTATAATTATTTTTTGGTATGTTTATAATCAAGGGCGGCTTATAAACGAGGGGGCTAACATTATCTTATCCAGATTCTGCCAAGATTTCCTGCTACCTTGAAGCTGAGGGTGATAATGTAGAAAATGAGAAAGAAATACTTATACGAGGGTCACTCCAAAATTATTGAGATATTCAAAGACCGCAAGAGGTATCGTGTTCAAATTTTCACAGTTTCTCAAAATACTCTCCACTGGCTTCCACACAAAGTCTCATACGATAAAACCACATATCAAAACAATGGGCCCATTTTTCTGCAGCCAGGTCAGAAACAGCCTCGTTGAAGGCACTAACTGCATCATCAGCGCTATCAAACTTGGTTCCGCGAATTTCCTCTTTCACCGCTGGAAAGAGAAAGAAGTCACAAGGTGCCAAATCAGGTGAATAAGGCGGGTGGGTCATCAACTGAACTGAATTTTCGGACAGAAAGTCGATGGTCAAAGCAGCTGTGTGAGCGGAAGCGTTGTCATGGTGCCAAAGTAGACCTCTTAAGCCGGTCCTTGGACGTTTATTTCGCCAAATTTCTAGAACCTGTGGTATGCAGTGGTTAACATACCAATCCGTGTTCACTGTACGACGGTCTTCAACTTGAATGGTTGCGACATGACCCGTCTTTGAGAAAAATGACGCAACCATTCTTTTGCCGACGCTTCTGGATCGCCAAAATTTTTGCGGCGGGTTTTCACCTGGAAAGATCCAAATTGAGGATTGGCGCTTTGTCTCCGGGTCAAATTGGTAAACCCAACTTTCATCGCCTGTCACAATGTCATAAACCCTTTTCGACTCCCCTTCATTAAATTTTTGCAGCATAAACTGGCACCAATTGACGCGCTGCTCTTTTTGCTCATCTGACAAGCAATGTGGCACCCAGCGGACAGCCACTTTCCGAACTTGCAGGTTTTCATGCAAAATTGTGTGCAATGCTGCTGATCCAATCTTTACGCTATCCTGCATCATAGAATAAGTCATCCGACCATCTTGCCTTAGCATCTTCTCCACAGCGGCAACTGTTTCTGGCACAACAGCAGTTGGGGGCCTCCCTGGGTGGGTCTCATCTTTAAGGCTCTCCCTCCCTTTCTTAAATTCGGCAAATCATCGAAAAACTGTTGCCATTGAAGGTGCATTATCTCCAAATGTCTGCAGAAGTTGAGCTAGGCACTCTTCTTGTTTCAGCCCCCTTTTAAAATCATAATAAATCATTGCGCGAAAATCACATCCTTCAAGCACCATTTTTAACAAATATGAACATCTAAGGTGCTGGAATTCAAAACCCTTTTTTATTTTTTTCCCGCGCTTGAAATTAACAAAAATTACAAAACATGGGTGAAATAGATGGTACAAGCCACCAAAAAAATTTCAAACTGATACCTCAAGTGGTTACTGAATATCTCAATAATTTTGGAGTGACCCTCGTAGACACTAATGATAATACAATGCAATGATAATGCATTATATTGTTGTTGGTTGAACAACGAAATGTATACTTTTGTGGTTTAATTACACAATCAGGCTTGTATCAGTTTCTGTGTCCGTCATTTCAAACCAAGTATCTCTGCATGGTTTGGTGGGTATGGCTAATAATCAAGGGCAGCTTACATTTTGCTACGAACCCAACTTATTGGAGCCTATGATGGAGGACAGCCTTTAAACAAAGAAATATATCAAATAATATGGTAGGCATGAAAGCCTATTTCTACATCAGTTTTATCCAGGACATATTGGGCTAGAGGTGGTATCTACATCTTGGTTGTTGTTCAGTTATTCAATCATTGAAAAGTGTGTTTTTGGGATCCCTTTGTATATTTGAAAGATATATTTTGTCATTCTGTCATTGCTTCAAGAACTTTATACCTTGAAGAAGCTTTTTTGTTTTATCACAGAATAAGCTTGCTTTGCATGGTTGCATGAGAAATTTGAATCTCCAAAAACTAAAAAGCAGGAAAGATATCTTTAACAGGTTAAACTGAATAATAAGCCTTTAAAAAAAATTTGCCAAATAACCTTTGGAATAAGCCAAGATGCTCATAACCTTATCTTGAATGAGACACCCTAGTTCAGGTGAATGAAATAAGTCTAACATAAAATAGATCAAAAGTTTTGTCCATCGCAACCATGTGTGTGGTGTGATGCACACCAGTGGCGGCCTGAACTTTTCGCCTGGAGGGGCCAGCAGCAAAATGGCGTCCTTCATAACTAGCATTATTGTCTTTTCCTGAAAGATTGGCAGTCTGGTAATGCTCTTATATTTTTCAACCTTGTATGTCAAGGATAGACTGACCCCCACCGTGAGGACAGGATCCCAAATATAATAATTTTTCATGGGGGTGTCAGGACAAGTTGGACCGACTCACATGAGAAATTAACTGTCTCTTTGAAGCCAATGCAAGCAGATAACTAAATAAAAATGTGTCGAGAACATGTTTGGGAAAATTCCAAAGGCTGAAATAGAACGTCAGCATGGAAGAAAGTAGTAGTAACAAAAACAAAATTGTGCGATAAAATATTAAGATTATAACCTCAGTTTAACGGGTTTTTGCATTCTAATACACGAATCTTCGTGATTTTTATCCAAAAGCACGCTTCGTGGATCAATAATTTCATCTTTATTTGAATCCTGTACAAATAACTCCATCGCTTCGTTCTTTTTTCAATCTGCTAGTGGACATTTACGTTCAGCCTCTTTTTGGATAACATCTGGCGCATTCAATGAAGCGCCGAAGGCGCTAGATGTCTAACTCGGGTCATGCTGCGTACCGAGTGAGGCAAATTTGTTAACTTCCGCCATTTTAAATAGTGACAAAAAGCGAGCTGCAATAGGGTTCAGTATGGAAAATTGCTTGTTTTAATGAATGATTTTCTCGTGGCTCACAACTATTTCAGTGCCTTTTCTGATGCAGGTAGTTAGAGGAGATATAAATCAACAACACATAACAATATTTTGGGGTTTTTAAAGAGAATTTTAAAAATTATGGCTCTTTCAGTTTACGCAGTTACGGGGGGAATATGGCAGTGGCTTGTCGTGTTTTTATGAGTTGAAAAAGTATGTGTTTGCAATTTTTATCTTCATATAGATTAGAAAAAACTTTTTAAGTCTATTACCTAATAATATAGACCATTTTAGATATATAATTCTTGAATTTTAAGTTTGCAAAATTAGAAATCTTTGTCGTGAAAGTGTACCCCGAAGGTATTTTATAGGCCTAAAGATACGGGGAGGGACGCATTGTGCTGAAGAATAATTACAAGCAACGAGTGTGGTCAGGGGCGGTCTGGTGGCAAAGTGGCGATCACCACCCGGGCCCTGTGTACAAAAAATTTACGGGCCTTTCCGCGTTGGAGAAAAATGTTCAACTTAATATCAAATACTTAATGCCCTTGACTGATTATATTGCGATTAAAGTCCCAATACATGCGCTTCAAACCACCCAAACCCTGGTTTCCGTTATTTCAGCCATGTGTTCAATCTTGAGCGCGTAAACAGAATGCCAAGCAGAGAAGCGAATGAGCATACTCTTATCTTCTCTAATTTATGTGGCTCTGATGCCCAGGGTATCTGACTGTCGTAGACAGTGCTGTGGGAACGAAATTCATATTGGGGAGGGGGGCGGCTGCTCATTGTATTTATTTCCACCTAGCAGCATACCCTTCCCTCTACAACGCGTATAAATGCTTGATGACACTTACCTGCACCCAAGTTTCCTTTGAAAAATTATTCAGCGCTACTGATAATTTCAAAAGAAGAGAAAACTTTCCACTTGATTACGAGCAAGTCATTGGCCAATTTGCTGATTCATTGGCTGCGATTTTGACGCCAGACCGCCCCTGGTTTCGAAGCTGCTTATATCTTGGCCATAGTGCTGGATCTCTCTCGCACATCAAATTCTTGATGCTTGGAGAAATCCATGGTACATGTGCATGCCCCGTCTTTGCGGTCCTTTTTTCAACGGGGCATGCACATCCAAGACAGGGAGAAAGAGATCGTAGAAATTGCTAGCCATCTTATTGGGGTCATCCGATCTACATGACATAGCCATATCCCAGTCAATACTACGCAAACTGAAAAGTTTTATTAGGCTCTTTATCTTTATTTTAGTTAAGTTAAGTGAGCTTCTGCTAGATGCCCAGAGCATCATAGGGCAACTCATAAATTATTACTGGATGTTTTATCTTCGAC